AGGATAGAGCACCGCAAAAAGGAGAACAGGACAAAGACTACTGATCAGCCTATGTCCCCAAACACTTCCACGAGTATGGCGATGTGTTCTCCAAGAAGCAGTCGGAACGAATGCCTACAAGAAAGCCCTACGATCATCCAATCGAACTTGTTCCAGAGGCATCATTACCACACCCAGCAAAGTTATATCCTATGAACCTACAGGAAAGAAATTCGCTCGACACGTGGATAGACCAAGAGTTGGCCAAAGGTTACATCAAGAGATCAAGGAGTCCAACTGCAGCACCCGTCTTCTTCGTCAAAAAGAAAGACAGATCACTGAGGCTCGTACAGGATTACAGGAACCTCAACGCAGTCACAAAGAAGAACAAGTTCCCAATCCCACACATTTCGGACCTCATCGACAGGCTCTCACATGCTAGTATATTTACAAAGCTTGATCTGAGATGGGGGTTCAACAACATAAGGATTAGGGAAGGAGATGAAGAGAAAGCTGCCTTCATTACACATCGTGGCCTCTTCGAACCCACCGTAATGTACTTCAGTTTCTGCAATGCTCCTAGCACCTTCTAAACAATGATGAATACAGTCCTCGAAGACTTAATTCGCACTGGAAAAGTGGTAGTCTATTTAGACGACATCCTCATATTTACGGACGATCTCGATGAACACCGATGACTAGTGAAAGCAGTTCTACAGCACCTCCAGGACAATGACTTATATGCCAAACTGGAGAAATGCTTCTTTGAACAGTCCTCAATCGAGTATCTTGGCATGATCATCAGCAAGAACTCAGTACAGATGGACCCTGCTAAAGTCGAAGGTGTACTTGGCTGGCCCGCACTGACAAAGGTCAAACAAGTACAGGCCTTTTTAGGATTCGCGAATTTCTACAGGCAATTTATAAAGGACTTTGCGAAACTCGCACGACCCTTAACGCTTCTCACCTGTAAGGACGTGCCCTGGCAATGGAAGGAAGAGCAAGACCAAGCCTTCAGTGCACTTAAAACAGCGTTCACTTCAGCCCCGATCCTACAACTCCCCAATGATACTGCGCCTTACCGACTGGAGACAGATTCTTCAGACTATGCAACTGGCGCAGTACTGGAACAACTAGGAGAAGATAAGCTATGGCACCCAGTCGCATACTACTCAAAGTTGCTCAACGAACACGAGCGAAACTATGAGATTTATGACAAGGAGATGCTTGCCATTATTCGGGCACTAGAAGAATACCAGCACTATTTAGAAGGCCACCCAGAACCCATTGAGATTTGGTCAGACCATCTCAACCTTACATACTTCCGTCAGGCACAGAAATTATCCCGGCACCAAGCACGCTGGTCATTATTCCTCACACGTTTCAATTTTATACTCAGTCACCGACCTGGAAAGACAATGCTACGTGCCGATCCTCTGTCCAGGAGGCCAGACCATGAGAGGGGGGTAGACAGTGACAATTCGAATAAAATGCTGTTAAAACCCGAATTTTTTGCTATCAATGTGATTCGACCCACTCACGCATCTGAAGTTGATGATGCTCAACAACTGGAAAGGATCAAGAAGGCACTCGCAGACGACACGATGACCAAGGATTATCGTGCGCTTTTGACTACAGGACAGCGCGAATTTGGGAAAAACCTCACAGAATGGAACTTTGAGCACGGACTGCTGCTCCATCGTGGAAAGGTTTATGTCCCCAAGGATCAACAGCTACACCTTGACCTAATAAAACTCCATCATGACACCTTACCAGCTGGACACCCCGGCAGGTTCAAGACATTGGAGCTTATCACTCGGAACTATTGGTGGCCAGGAATGTCTATAATGGTTAAACAATACGTACAAGGTTGCGACAGTTGTCAACGTAACAAGTACTCAAGAGAAAAACCATACAGACTACTACAACCAAACGAGATACCAGGGGGACCATGGGAGATCATCACAGTGGATCTCATCACACAACTTCCTCCAGCCATGGACTTTAGGGGAGAAAAGAAGACGGCAATACTTGTCGTCATGGACAGACTCACGAAACGAGCACACTTTTATGCAACGGACGATACAGTCACCTCATCGCAAGTCGCTAACGTATTTTATAATGAAGTCTTCAAACTCCATGGATTGCCGCGCCAGATTATCTCAGACAGAGGTACTCAATTTGCGAGCAAACTATTCCAGGAGTTCTGTCAGAAGCTCAGTATAAAATCAACAATGTCCACTGCATATCACCCCCAAACAGATGGCCAGACAGAAAGGGTTAACCAGGTGTTGGAACAGTACCTACGAATGTACTGCAACCACAGACAGAATGATTGGGTCTATTACCTGCCAACAGCAGAATTTTCATACAACAACCAGACCCATGAATCCACCGCACTTTCCCCATTCTTTGTCGAATATGGCCGACATCTAAAAATGGCACCAGACGTACACGAGTCAATATGTCACCCCTCATTGGAACATCTATTTGCCCACTGATCCGAGGTGCAAGAACAGGCAAAGGCAGCATTGAAAGTTTCGGCTTCACAGATGAAATGGTACTTCGACGAGAAAAAGGGAGAAGTCTCATTCAAAGTCGGAGACCTAGTACTACTCAAGGGAAAGGACCTCAGAGTAAAAGTCAAGTCCGCGAAGCTAGGCACACAAAACTTCGGACCTTACAAAGTACTTCAGAAGCTAGGCCCAGTCACATTTAAACTGGAACTGCCTAAGCAAATGAAGGTCCACCCGGTCTTCCATGCTAGCAAGTTGATCATGTACCATCAAGACACGGTCGCAAACCGTGAACCCCCAAAGCCCCCAGCCATAGAAATCGAAGGAGAACCAGAGTTCGAAGTTGAGAAAATACTAGACTCGAAGGTTGTAAGGGGAAGGGTCCAATACCTCGTCAAATGGAAAGGCTATGATCACTCCGACGATACATGGGAACCCCAAACAAATTTTACCAACGCCGACGAGCTTCTTCAAGAATTCCACCAGCAACACCCAGATGCAGCCAAAGCACCAATCAGGGTCATCACTTTTGGTGGAAAATGCTTCGAATTATCCTCATACGAAGTTGCACCAATCTCCACACACAGAATCAACATGTCCGACCATCCAGATGAGTTCTTCCTATATCATAAAATGACAGATCTCGTCAAATCACCGAGGAAATCCTCAAATGAAGCAGCAGGATGGGATATTTATGCAGCAGAAATGCATGAAATCCCTCCGCATTCACGAGCCGTGGTAGGAACGGGAGTCGCAATTGACCCTCCAAAACACACCTATATACGAATAGCTCCATGCAGCGGACTGGCTGCATGAGGAATTGACGTGGGCGCAGGAGTCGTGGACCCAGATTACACCGGAGAACTCAAGGTCGTACTGATCAATACAACAGATTTCGTATTTTCGGTTAAACCGGGAGACAGGATAGCCCATATAATCTTCAAATATTATGCCGAAGGGCTTCCCTCCCAAAGTTACCAACCGTTGTGAGCAACGAGAAGGGGAAATAAAGGTTTTGGCTCCTCGGGACAATGAGCCTTGAGAGGGGGGTAGTGTCACAGATTTTCACCACAAAGTTCGCACGTGACTTTACTCACGCCACAGATCACGTGCTTCACCAATATCTCACGCCACTCAGCCACAGACGCGATGCGTAGAGATCAGGTGATAGTCCACATCACATGTTATGGTCCAGACCCGCGGATGATACGGTCAGACCTGTCTATTCCAGGATACAATAGAGGCACCCATTTGGGAACAAAAGGAACAAGGACTATTGTTAGGCATCGGCCTTCCGCTTTCTATTAGTTTAGCCAGAAGCCTAGATAGGCACGATGTTCACACCGGAGAACAAAAGGGAAACCAAGATAGGCACGATGTGCACACTCATTACTGCGGCAACCATCGATCTTCCCACTCATTGTTCTACTTCCGGACATCCTATTGTTTCATGTACGGCCATTAGCTTATACCCGTAGATAGGTAGCTTAGGTAAGATAGCCCGCTGTACGTGTATATAAGACCAGCCATGTAGAGGACGAAACCTCAGATTGTTTCTCCTCGTCTACTACCCATAGCACTCACTGAGCCCACCAGCTCCTTCATATATCTCTCACCCTTTCCTGCGTCTGCCACATCGACCAGTAAGTCAACAGGCTCGTGCACCACATAGGGTTCAGGGGGATACTTTTGGGATCAGGGGGATCAGGGCGGCACGTTCCACGTGACTGTCCCTTTTTAGTCTTTTTGATCTCTTGTCTGGTGTTACCATGACAGAAAGGGTGGAGAAGAAATAAGAGGCTATTGGGAAGAAAGTGTGTCAGAATCTGATTGAAAGTATGCCAAGGAGGGTGCATGCAGTGGTGAAGGCAAAGGGAGGCTATATCAAGTACTGAAAGTACAAGTTTTGTAGAACCTGGATATGTGCCACAAAACTGTTAATAAGAGTGACCCTCAAAGATTAGTAAATATCTTGGGATCAAAATAGGGTAAAAATATGGTTAAGACTGTATTAGAAAGCCATGACAATACGCTTTCCAATCAGGTCTTATATAATGTAGTTGACCCATTGGTTGAGCAGATATTTACTATACAAGTTGAAGTGAGCAATTTTATCAACAGTTTTGTGGGTCACTGTATGTGGTGCGATTCGGACTGCGTGTTTGTATGCGTCACTTTTCCTCTCCAAAAGTGCTCTTCACCCCTGGAGCTAACTCGTTCATGTTTACGACTGATGATGATGAGGACACTGAGAGTGCTATCTGGCACATCGATGCTTTCACGAGCGCGATTGTGGCACACTGGGTGATCCTTCTGCTCACTAGCAACAGCGCGGCATTCACTTGCTCTTACGAGATGACTCTTGTCATGGTACGTTCGCTATGCTACTTGTTTCATTGGCTTTTATAAATCAACATGTCCTGACGAAAATCCCCGAGCACCCAATTGTTGGCGTGCGCACTCTGGATGTATGGAATGAGTAGGTGATATACTACGACGATGCATGCACATACTGATCGGTCGATTAGGAACTTATTTGGGAGATCGATAGTCTCCTCAAGAAGAACACATTCAAATGAGGAGCATACTGGTCCTTCACTCATGGATCAAATTTGCCAGGCCCTTGAAAAGTCAGTATGACGTCCCCTAGCCTTCACGACACTTCTAGCCTCTTATCGCATTCTGTCCCTCTTGTCATCTGAGATATCACACTTGGACGATGTTCTCATGCTCAGCTTGCTACTGTTCTCTGGTCTACCCTTGACAAGCTCCTCTGGCTGCCTGCAATCATGCCTATCTGCTGCTATCTCGCTCTCTTGAGTTGTGTCTCAGACTTCGGACACTGCATCGTTGCACGGACTTTATAAATAATGATTGTACTCGAGTAGAATTGTAATATATGATATTCTTACAATTATAGGCCAGATCTTATAATCATCGGGAAAAATTATAAACTATCCTATGCATCCTGGGCACGATTATAATGTGTGATCAGAATGGCCGATCTTACAAGCCATTATAATAATAGGGGGTTCTTGTGAAACTCAGAGATCCATTATACTAGTAGGCCAGAATGGTCATGGTAAATAAGAATAGGCAGGGTTTTCAAGGTATTATAAACTCTTTATAATCTTTTTGCACTTTTGCTGATGGATGTGAGCATGCTCGGACCCCGACACGTTTGTATCGACTATCGAGCGACAATTCAATCCAACCCTGTCATTGGTAAGGCTGTGGGCAGCCTGTGACCTGCCTGAGCGTGTTCCCTCAGTGTGACGCGAGCTTGTACATTCAAGTAACATGTTTGCAAACATCGACATCCCTCCTACAAGCATTGTTGAGAAAGCCAAACCTCACGACCAAGGCTCGGGGACAAGCTGAGGTACCGAGGCCCTCACAAATGAGAGTCCGGACTAATGTGGCTGATGGATTAGATAATATTTTCTAATGTGTACATCTATATATAAAGGAATGCCATATCGGGAAGATCTGCATCATCCCGCATCCTCCTTCATCCCGGATGCTCACCCGTGTTCTGTGTTCCCAATCTGAGGCTTAATAGGTTATGAGCCCTGGGCTTTCGGATTAACCTCGAACCTTATCAATTGATTGCTCTGACATTATTACTTGGCAACATGGCTGAAGAGAAAGAGAGATTGTCGTACCCGCACATCAAGCCCCTAAAAGAAGACACTTGAATGCCCTGGAAGACCAAGATGGAGGCCATCCTCGACAATAAAGGGCTCTTGCCCTGGATTAAGGGTAAGAAGAAGAAACCCGAGATCCAAATCCTCGGAGACCTCGAAAAGATCCAAGCACGCGAAGATGAGATCGAAGAATGGGAAAAGAAAGACCGTTCCACGTGCACCATTATCATGATCAATCTCGGCAATGACCAGATTGTGAATGTGACAGGTGCGACATTTGCTCGAGACATGTGAAAGAAACTCTGCATGATTAAGAGGCAACACAGACAAAGTGGTATCGATTCTCTCATTTGACATCTCTACCGTACATATGCGGTGAAGAAGACAACATCGGGAAACATATTAAGGAGTTATGCAAGATCCGAGAAGAGCTACACATCATGGAAAATGAGATTGACGATCAGCAATTTCGTAACGTCATCATCACCTCATTGCCCGATAGCTGGATGACGTTCACGGACACCTATTTCAGATTCTGAGGTGAGCTCATCGATAGTGACGATGAGGAGACAGAGGAATAGAGGTGAGAGAGAGGAAGAGGAACATAACTGTGCAACAACTCATCGGGATAGTTCTCGATGAGTGGCGTCGCTGCAAAGATCACGATCTGAGCTTGGAAATGGATCAAGCAATGATAGCCACTCGCGGGAAGAGAAAGCATCCCTCAAAGCACCCAAAGAATCTCAGAGCTAAAGCTGAGTCCTCAGACAACACAATCGTCTGTTCTAACTGCGACAAGCCACGTCACACCAAAGCCGAATGCTTTGCTAAGTGAGGCAGAAAGGAAGGCCAGTGGCCGCAGTGGTGGAAGAGACCTGACGAAAAGAGGCAGAAGAGAGTGGATCACACCAACAAGGGTGAAGGATCCTCGAAGGGCAAAGAATGTGCATTTGTAGCACATGATTCTAATGAAGATCAGAACACTGTATCCCTAGATAATTCTGATGAAGATATTTCTTCATTTTATTCGTGGATTGCCGATACAGCGATGACCTCGCATGTCACAAACTGACATGAGATCTTCACATCGTATCAAGCACTCGAGAATCATACCATCTTCAGATTAAATCCAGGGAGCTTAGCGGCAGTTGGCCACAGCTCTGTAGATCTTGAAAGCACATTTGGAGATCGAAAAGTGCGATTTCGACTCAATAATGTGCTATATGCGCTGCAGGCACACCATAACTTAATTTTGCTTGGGCGGCTGGATGCTGCAGGCAGTCGCATTGTTGCAGGAAATAAAAGAGCTATTCTCATTGATAAAAATGGGAAGACGTTGGCTACTGCCACACGTCAAGGCTATTTATATTTCACTGACAATGTGCAATCATTGCCTAAATCATTAAGCATCACCAATGCAATGCAGGAACACGCTCCACATACATGGACAGAGTGGCACCATATTTATAGCCATATCGGGAAAGATGCGCTGAAGCGTCTTCATCGAGAATCACTCATTGATGGCTTCGCTGTCATTCTGAACTTCAATGATTTCATGTGCGAAGCGTGCATCCAGGTGAAGTTCTCCTGCAAGCCATACCCGAAGAGCGGTGATCATAGAAGTGAGATCCCCAGTGAATTAACACATACTGATGTGTAGGGACCTGCTCTGATGACCGCTCTACAAGGTTGGCGATACTACATTACTTTTACTGACGATGCCACACATTGCAGTGTCATCCTTTTTATCAAAACAAAGGACGAGACCTCTCAGAAGGTCAAAGAATATATGACGTACCTTGATCGCTGATTCAGTCATCAGCCGAGGATGATCTGAATGGATAATGGATGTGAGTACCTCGATTCTGATCTTACTGATTGGTGTTGTTCTCAGGGAATTGAGACTGGTGCTACTGCATCATATTCTCCTCCCAAGAATGGCGTTGCAGAGCATCTCAACTGCACATTGCTTTCTTTAGCATGTGCAATGTTGTTCGCCCATGCTCTGCCTCATTTCCTATGGGCTGAAGCAGTGTGCCATGCAGTTTATATTAAAAATTGTGCACCTACATGGGCACTCCATGGTACCACTCTGGACGGTAAATGGAATGATAAAAAACTGAATATCACTCACCTTCGAGAGTTCGTTTGCATTATATGGGTTCTTGATGAGGAACTCAACTTATCTAAGCTTGCGCCACGAGCTAGCAAATATATCTTTGTTGACTACATGGATGGTCCCAAAGCAATTAGATAGTATGATGCTAAAATGCGTCAAATTAAGATGATGCGTAGGTATCATTTCTTACCTACACTATCACCCGAGTTAACTGATTCCCCATTTGGAGAGTCACATCCGCCTGCAAATATGCAGCGTGCAGGGGAGTCCGAGAGTAATAGTGACGTGCAGATATTTGCATTACATGATGATCCGTCCCGAGACCTTGATCCGGCTCGAGGAAGCAATCAAAATTCTCCAAAGAGAAAAGAACGAGAATATGACACACCTATTGAGCCCAGAAGGATGAGCAGAAGAACTGTTTGGCAAGATTATCGATTGCTGAATGATCCGAGCGCCGATGATTTGTCCTCAGAAGATGATGACACACCAGAACCAGAAGAAGCTCGGAGCACCGGTGATCTTGATCCGAGCATGAACGATGAATGCATTGCGAATCAAGCGTCGGTTGCAGAGCTTGTCTATATAGCCATGAACGCTCCCGGAAACATGGAAGCGAATGAGCCTAAGACACTAGCCGATGCAAAGCAATCTTCTGAATGGCTAAGCTGGGAGAAGGCTGTCCAAGCTGAACTTGGACAATTGCATGACATGGAAACATGAGATCTGGTAGATCTCCCTCCTGATCGCAAACCTATCAGAAACAGATGGGTCCTTGTCAAGAAGACAAACAAAGAAAGTGAAATAATTAAATATAAAGCACGTCTGGTAGCGAAAGGGTACTCTCAGATTCCTGGAATGGATTTCTCAGAGACCTTTGCACCAATTATGCATCTCGAAATGATTCATGCAGTCCTAAGCTTGACAGCAGTCCTCGATTGAGAAATCCAACAAATGGACATCAGAGGAGCGTACCTGAATGACACCCTTAAAGAGGAAATATATATGTGCCAACCCGAAGGATATAGCGACAGAACAAATCAAGTATGTCGCCTTAGAGAAACTTTGTATAGACTCAAACAAGCAGGTCGCAAGTGGAATATTGAATTAAATCAATGTTTATTAAATGTGGGTTTCAAACATTTACTCACAGATCCATGCACATACATCCGAATTCGAGGGAATAAAATAGAAATTGTCACCATTTGGGTAGATGATCTATTATTATTCACTAACGATCTGAGCATTATGGGACTCCTTAAAAAGGAACTTTAAAATATGTTTGAAGTCACCGACTGAGGAGAACCTCATAAGATCATTGGTATTGAAATTATGAGAGATCGCGCTAAACGCACAATCAAAATCTCTGAATCTCAATACATACAGGCTTTATTATTCAAAAACGGATTAGCGAACGCTAATTCCATTGGAATGCCTCTTGATCTGAATATAATGCTTGAGAAGGAAGAAGATAATGATGATAGCGTGCCTCATCGAAGCAACGCATATGCGTCATTAATCAGTTCCTTAATGTATGCCGCTGTCATGACCCATCCTGATATCGCATTTGCTGTGTAACGCCTCAGCTCATTCACAGCAAACCCAGCATTACTGCATTGGACAGCTGCTAAATGCATGCTCCGATATCTCGCAGGAACATGCGATGCTGGAATAACTTATGGCCTTGAAAATCAGGCCAACACACGTGCTCAATCTGAGCATCGTGTGTATTTCCATGGATTCTCTGATGCTGATTACACAAATGATGTACGCGATCGAAAATCCATCTCTGGCTTCATGTTCTGCCTCAAATCAGGTGCGATAACGTGGAGTGCCAAGAAGCAAATCATGGTCGCATTGTCTACAACCGAGGCAGGATACATCGCATCCGCGGCAGCAGCCCGCGAAGCCATGTGGCTGCAAAGTTTATTCAAACAAATAGGCTTCAATTAGTCCCAACCTACCCTGTTGTATGAGGATAATAATTCTGCAATTGCAATTGCAAAAGATCCTCAGTTTTGATGTAAAATATTATTATGTGCGCAAACAGCAACAAAGGAGATGTATTAATATTGTTTATTGTTCTACTGAAGATATAATTGCGAACATTTTCACAAAAGCACTCCCTAAACTGTGGCATCAAAAGCTATCTCATTTGCTTGAGATGTCCATCGGCTTGCAGGTGAGTGTTGAGAAAGCTGAACCTCACGACTGAGGCTCGGGGACAAGCTGAGGTACTGAGGCCCTCACAAATGAGAGTCCGGACCAATGTGGCTGAGGGATTAGATAATATTTTCTAATGTGTACATGTATATATAAAGGAATGCCATATCGGGAAGATCTGCATCATCCCGCATCCTCCTTCATCCCAGATGCTCACCCGCATTCCATGTTCCCAATCTGAGGCTTAATAAGCATACTATCACAGTTCAATTGGGCTCCCATATTATCTACCGTAGTACTGATCCACCACAGAGTCCCCAGGTGTGGCACGTGATAACGGAGGATACCTTTATGAATAGGTGGTGGCACCTCTTCTCAAAGCGACCAACTTTGTTCTGTTGCCGGTATCACTGTCATAGCAGAACAGAGCATGTTGTTGTAAGGGAAGAATTTTACAAGCTCCTGATTATTCCTTGTACATCCTGTCTACTGCGTCTGTTGCACGAAGTTATAAGGATGAAACGTCTGGTTTCTCTTCTCAAGCTCTCCTTACCTCTACCAAATCCATAATGCATAGAAGACACTTGGCACATTTATTTGCAGTATTATCACTACTGTGTTTTGTGTGGCTGCTGGGAGTTCATGTGTGGGGTGCAGCCGGCCACCAGATCGTCGCTACGATTGCGCAAATACACCTCCATCCAGCTGTCCTCCCCGTACTTTGTGACATTTTCTACCCACCTGACGTGTCTCTATCCACTTCGTTGGCAGCCCCTCCTTGCCATCTTTCCTCCATCACTATTACAATAGCAGCGCTATTCTCAGCTGTGCCGTATGTCAACGTACTCAACTATATTTGTACTGTACTATTACAATAGCAGCGCTATTCTACATGGCACAGTCAGCTCTGGGTCTGATACATGAAGGAAAGCATGTCTGAATACTCACCTCAGCTGTGCCATACATCAATGTACTTGACTGAGGTGCTACCTACAAGCAACACGTCCTTATATGTGTGCACGTCAATCACATGATCGTGCTGTCAAGACTGTCAAACTCTTTCTCCCCCATTCTCCCCATCATCTCTGAGCAGTCTACTTTTGACACTTCCCCTAGACTGGAACTCCCAATGTATCCAGATGTTTGTGGAGAGTCAGCTGTGCAAGCACCTTGATAAAAATATCAGCAGGGTTCTCCGTCCCGGGTATATGCATGATATCGATTTCTTTTAGTCATATGGCCTCGTGCAACCAATAATATCAAACGTTGAGGTGTCTGACTCATGTGAAATTTATCACCCTTTTCGCCAGGCTCTCGCCGCCTGTACTATCCATCTTGATGACGATCGGAGTGCTGATCGGGAGGAACATATCGCCCATAAACTTGTCTATCCATCTTGCTGTTTATCCAGCATGCACTGCTGCTATGTACTCCACCTCGGTGGTCGACAGGGCCACAACTTACTGACAATGTGAGCTCCAGGAAACCAGTCCACCTGCCATAACCATGACGTGTCCATGTGTGAAATGACCAGTGTCCACGCAGTCTGAGTAGAATGAGTCAGAATATAAGATGGGTTGGAGGGTTGATTTCAGGTGGTCCTTACTATAGTAAGTGATCCCATAGTCGACTGTCCCCTTGATATAATGCAGCACCCTTTTGAGGGCTCTCCAGTGCTGAATGCCCAGGTTTGCCATATATCAGCTGAAAACTTGCACAGGATATGAAAGATCAGGGTGAGTCGCGACAGACAGATACATGATCGATCTCAAGGCCTCGCGGTATGGAATAGTCACCATCTCCATTGCTTCATCAGCAGCAACAAGGTTAGTCAGCTTCGAAAACTTCATGCCGGGTTCCAGAGGTGTCAAGACCAGATTTGCGTCTTGCATTCTGAACCACTCTAGGACACGCAAGGCATATGTGCGTTGAGTCAAACGTAGCGTACCTTTGATCTGGTCATGTTCAATCACTACCCCAAGCATGTAGGTGAGCTCCCCTCCCTCACTAAGCTTGTAACATGCTGCCAGGTCCCCACGAGTGACAGCTAGACCCTCTGCAGTATCGGCGATAGAGGCAATATCATGGGTATAAGTGGCTGTGACTGACAGCCCATGGTCATCAATGCGCGCATGAACACACTCATCTGCATGGGACTGCATGAATTCTAAATCATGGTAAGTACTATCGAGGTCCTTCCACCATTCATTACCAGACTGCATCATGCCATACAGGGCACGCTCCAGGGCACAAACCCAGTCTGGGTGTTCGGCATCTCATAACCTGGCAGCTGAGACATGTAGACTGGCTCCGACAATTTGGCATTCAGGTAGGCCTTTTCGACATCATCCTGTCCCATCTCCATGTCGCGATAAGTAGCCATTGCACAAACAGTACGGAGGGACTCAAAGCGAATGACAGATGCAGTAGTCTCAAAGAAATCCACACCAAGGATTTAGTGAAACCCTTTGGCGATGAGATGCACTTTCGGTTTCCACTTCCCAATGTCGTTGAACTTCTGAGCATAAGCCCATTTGCACCCGACAACATTCATGTGATCTTGACAAGGCACAAGCATCCAGGCTCCAATTCGCAGCAAATCCTCCATTTCCTTGTCCATTGCAGGTGCCCAAATTTTACCTGCAGCCAAGGCCTGTCTGTACGTTGTAGGGCAAGTCCTGCCCTCATGCATGAATGGGTCAGTCGCAGTGACAGGTGCAGGAGTACCATCGGCGGTGAATGCCATGACATAAGCTGCAGTCATCACAACCTCATCATTGGCCCACAATTTGCCACATGCACGAGCCTCCTCTTCACATTGGACAGCTTTGCGTGACTCGCACAATGTCCGGCTTTCGACAGGCTGTCATGCTGAGCGGCGGAGTGCAGGAACAGGTAAGAAGCAGGGGCTGGTGCCAGTGCTAGATCAGGTGCATGAACAGAGACAGGCAGAACTCCCCCATCATGTGGTGCTGGAGCAGGATCATGTACAGGTGGGGAGTCAGATGTGGGAGGAGCAGCCAGGGCAGCAGGAACAGCAGGCTCCTGTCCATAGATGTCAGCTGGCTCACAGGTGCAGTGGCCCTTCATCTTCTCAAAGACCACATCGCGTGACCAGATAATACCTCCCCTTGGTCTAGCTGTAGGGTCCCACAATCGAAAATTTGCATCGTCTGTATACCCGATGAGTATACAGTGGCACGACTTCGGATCGAGCTTGTTCCGGGTGTCATCAACGATTCTAGCCCATGCAACAGAACTGAACACTCACAAGTGCATCACGTTAGGTACACGTCCATGCCATTGCTCATATGGAGTGCACCCCTTTTGCCTCGCAGATAGAGTGAGGGATTTCAGGTAAGCAGCTGTATTGAACGCCTCAGTCCATAAATGGTTCGGGACTCCAGCATCATACAGCATAGCCCGAGCATGGTCGGCAAGAGTGCAGTGGCCATGTTCACTCACCCCATTCTCCTGGGATGTATAAGGCACTGTCGGCTCTGCAACAATGCCATTGTCTCGGAAGTATGCCACCTAAGCCTCATTGTTGAATTCGGTACCATTGTCAAAATGGACGCAGCACAGTTTGCAGCCTGTTTGTCACTCGGCCATGCAGTGGAAGGCTTAAAAATGGTGTAACGTTTCATCCATAGACTTGATTGCGAGTGGATACACCATGGTATAGGATGACGTGCCATCATCAATGGTCAGAAGATATCGAGCTTCACCCAGTGAGGTAACGGGAAATGGTCCCATCAAATCCACATAGATGCATTCAAGGAGCTCCATCTCGACCTCGGATGTACGAAATGGTGCACGAGTCTGTTTCCCTTTCAGACAGTCCTCACACTTTCCAGCAGGCCATTCTCCCTTCATGATCATACCTGGACTACATTGAACCGTGCCATTGTCTGGATGGTCTGCTCGCTGATGTGACCCAGTCTGTGATGCCAAGTTGCAATGTCTGCCACAGAGCACTGACCATCGACAGCTAAGGCACAATGGTCATAGGTGAGGTATGCACGAGGGAGATCCGGCAAGACAGCTAAGTCAACCTTAGTGAACTCTGCCTCATACAGGTCGCCTGATGTCAGAAGCAGGTAAACATGGGTTTCCTCGCCTTGCCCATCACAGTCATCATCCCTGCCACTCTGGAAAATGAGTACCCGGCACGATCGAGGTGCGGCATCGATATCAGGTTGGCCGCGAGGTCAGGGATATGGATGGCATTCTGGAATGTGACAACGGACGTCCGCCCACCTATAACCGTCTGTACGTCAACATTCCCCACACCTATAATGCTGAAAGAAGAACCTTTCTTTGCTCCATTTCCCAGGGTAGGAGCGAGAGGCATATAGTCAATGAAACTCATGCAATTCACGAAGCAGTGGTGAGTAGCACCTGTGTCCGCATAGGCCCTCAGTACTCCATTGCTGATGGACTCGACGTGAGGCAAATTGATGAGGTGAGCGCTAGCTAGGAAGATATGATAATCATAGTCTGATGCCTGCCCATTGCCAGTGTTCGACGAGTGTGTGGTTGCTGTGGTGAGATGAGCCTGTGGTGGAATGTGGGAGCTGGGCGCAGTAGTTTCAGACATTGCTGCTGTTGATGTCACTGCTGCCTGTTTGGCTGCTAATGCCTTCGCCACAGGTGAACCTTTCTTAGGGACTGGCTTTGTCTAACCTGACGGCTGTTGACCCTCGTGTCCTCCGCCCTCACAGAAACAATTCGACTGTGTGTGGCCCTTTGCGCTGCACCACTCGCATATCATCATGGCTTTCGCACGCGTCATAAATGCGTGAATAGTCAGTGCCGTGACTTGGTCCGTACCCATCAGATTAAGAGGGTTACCAGCCTGTATGTGATCATTCTCGAAGACCACGAGGATTGACTCCATAATGATGTCAGGATCAGTTTGTAGGAGGAGTGAGGTGCATGTGGACCGGAGGGACGAAAGATTCGACATCGAATTGCACACGATGATCATGAATCTGGCAGCATTGAACGTAGACCCCCAGATCACGCACAGCACACCAACGGTGGTGCAGCTCTGTGAAGTGGTCCTGGAGGTCTGTTCCTTCAGTCCAAATGCACACTTTGAGGTAATCCTCAGCGTTTGTGATCGTCAATGCCATCTTCCGCTCTCGCTTCTGCACTAGGGATGTCCATACCTCATGTGCGGTCTTCCCTTCATCCTCCACACTGATGCCTATGAAGTCCACGACGTTCAGTGTGATGATAGCCTTTGCGAATTCGTCATGCTTGTCCCATTGTTCCTGCTCTGCTCTGGCAATTGCGACATCGCCTGAGTCTGCGCCTAGCGGTGCCGGAGGTGGCCATGTAAGCATTCCAGTAAGTTGCACATATAGTCCTCGGATATGAGTTATGGTAACAATCTTGCCTTTCCAGTCAAACCAGTTAGCTTTGCCCAGCTGCTGGCTTTCTGGAAGGATAGGCATCTTCACGTCGGTGGTGGCCGCCATGATAGGATACCGGTACGAATATTGATGTGAATATGGCTAGAATTGATAATTGTTCATGAATATTGATGAGTCGATGTCTGATGCGATGTTTTGTATGACTATATGCGCTCTTCGGAGCTCATAACCTATTACAATAGCAGCGCTATTCTCAGCCGTGCTGTACGTCAACGTACTCGACTATATTTGTACTGTATCTATTACAATAGCAGCGCTATTCTACACAGCACAGTCAGCTCTGGGTCCGATACACGAAGGAAAGCACGTCCGAGTACTCACCTCAGCCATGCCATACGTCAACGTACTCGACTGAGGTGCTACCTACAAGCAACACGTCTCATGGCAGACATGGTGCGATTTACCAACGTGGAAAATTGTGTGTAAATGTCGACTGATTTCTTACACATGCAACAAATATTTGCAACCATGGCACTTCATGTTGAAAATGTTTCACTTTGGCTGTGAATGTGCATTATTTGTCATTTAAATTCCCGCTACGACAGTAGTGGGTCTTACCGTCGCATCTTAAACCAGTTTTCTGCCAAAAATCAGCGGCACGTGAAATATGACATTGTTCACATGAATGCTCCACTGCCTAGAGATCCATTGGCTTCACATTGGCCGCTTACTTTGCCCCATCTGCGCTCATCAGTGTTTAACTTGATGTGTCATCTGCATCTCGTCGGCAACTATGCGGGTATTGTTGTGTCAATCCTGGTAGACAATCCTTTTGAAATGTCGCTCATCTCATCCGCTTTCCCATGCTTACACAATCTGCCACGTTCAGTGTGGGCGGAAAACTCCGTCGCATACTCATCCACCTCTGGACCAGTTCATGTTCCCTCTAAGTCTGGTTTTTTCACCTCCTCGTTGTCTATGTCTATCGGTTCCCTTGCGTTCTTTGACATCGCTCTGGGTCACGACTGGCTTTCAATCTGTTGTGTGTCAATCGGCGGTTTTGATATATGTGATCCACCGTCGTCTTTTGTTCACTCCCCTCTACATGGTCACTGTTGGACTCGGAAAGAGAATGCTGTTGATAGTGTGTTGGTTTTTTTTTGTTCGTTCATGCTTTACTTAGATCATTTTCGCAAGTGTCGTTTCCGTCTGTTAACGACAAGTCTTCCATCATCCATAGTAACGGTGTGTACTCTGCTTTTGTTCGCCGTGTGCTGCAGTACTCACTGTTGTTTGCTCTTTACTATGCGTTGTTCATATGATATGTCTTTGCATGTGCATGTTCACTGTCAACCAGGTTCCTACCGAGCAACATCACCTCCTGTGCATGCCCTACCTCACATCGATAGGTGTTCTCTACACAGCTCCGTAAACGTTAAAACCAATATATTTATCATATTCACATATGTAACACCAGCCCGTCAGTGGACGTCCACTGACGCAATGTATGAAATCAATAATCGTCGTAGCAGGCGCTGCCGGTACCGGCCCTATCCTTATACTATATTGGCAAATCTTTGTCACAAATGTAAGACATCAGCCGACATTCCACACTATTTTTCACACTGATAAATCGCATCATGTCTGCCGTGTCTCTGTATGCGTGCGTGTCGATCACGTGATCGCGCTGTCAAGACTGTCAAACTCTTTCTCCCCCATTCTCCCCATCGTCTCCGAGCGGTCTACTTCCGACAATCGCGACCTGGGCCGACCAGGTGCGAGGTACCCCGGCATATCGCTGGACATCTCCGCTGCACTACATCGGTGCCGTCGACGACCACCCCAGCGATGCCTGCGAATTTCCTGGCGAGCGCGGCTGGAACGGGCGGCGCAACATGAACGTGCTCGCTGCCGTTAACAACAAGACCGCCATGTTGGGCGAGTTCCTCGACGGCGAGCGAAGTTGGCACGAAGGCGAGGAGGCGCTCAAGTACCTCGTGCACTTTGTCGGAGATATCATATGCCGCTGCATCTGACAGGGAGGGAGAGGGGAGGGAACGGCGTGAAGGTGACGTTCGATGGCCGTGTTACCAGTGAGCATTGTATTTTCTTCTAAATTTCGGAAATTGTTGGTGCGTTTTAGCGTTATGCGCCTCGCAGTACGATGAAAGAAGGGTTGGGCTCTACGTTCATTGCGATGCACAGATTCTTGCATCGAGTATTCAGACTAACACCTCCCCCGCAGACTTAAATTCCGTCTGGGATAATCTGCTCGTCGCGCAGGCTCTCCGTACTGTTTCCTCGAAGTATACCCGTCCTCTCGCGGGAGCTCCTGGCGTCGAGGCCAACCTGCGGAACGCAATCTATGACCCATACATCCGCCGAATAATGCATGAAGGCTTTGGCATCGGTGCTGGAACATCTGAAGGCAGCGGCCGTTTCGACGAGGTCGACGAATGGCTCAGCTGCCCAGCAGATATCCAATCTCCCACAAACGAACCGTCTTTTGTCTGGAGAGCGATAGCACAGCTGGCGCAGAAGCTTCAGCGTATGATAGGTTTCGACGATCCGAGCTTGCGGGTGCAGAAGCGCGATCGTGCAATGAGGCCAAGGCATCATCCAGGAACGGCGAAGCAGAGCTCTACCTCGGGATGGCTATGGTGGAGCCAGGGAGAGGGGGACCGCTGGGACGACGAAGTGCTCTGTCCCTATGCGTGGGCCAGCGAGATCCACAAACTCAACTGCGAGCTTCCCGTGTGGCCCGTTGAGCTTGACGCGAATTCATCTGCAGCTTTTCATAGCTGCAGTGGCGAAGATTCCGATGCTGAAGTGGAGGGGAAACCGCGTCCGCACCCTGACCTGCTCGAGCTCGATACGCCAAATTATGTCGGGAACATCCGTACGCAATGGGTCCTCGAGCGTCTGCTGGCAATGGCGGGCATCCGGCTTGCGGGGATTCTGAATGGCCTCGTCCTGGGTTCCGACCCTGAGATGGAAGATATCTTATTGTCTCCGGGGAGGATTCAGTTGTGATGTATGCGGCATAGAAGTACTTGACAATGATAGGATGAGTGGCGCGTCTCTGCATATTGTATTTGTATTTGGGCTGTACAAGTTGTCTGTTGCTCGAGTAGCATTTGGATATCGGATTAAAGATACCACTTGATACTTTTTTTTTTGCCCAGAATTGAGCTGAATGGAATGTTTCATGAAGGAGAACGAAATGAAAACATGAGCGGCATGATGGCTGTCCTCAATGACATCGTGCACGGCATAGACCCGGTGATAGAGTATGATGGAAGGGGGTTGACGCAGGTTGTACGCTCAGTCAGAGAACCCAGGATTGCGCCAGAAGAACTCCCCAATCATACAAAGTCCATGCAAGGTATCTAGTTGGGCATTGACAACTTCAGCTCTTTCGGCCCATGATCCCGCATCTAGCGCATGCTTTCGGTCGCTCTCAATGGACGTCTGCGTGCGCCGGCTCTCCTCCGGCCAGTGGTAAACATGTGAGCATGATGGAGGCCGCCGGTCAAACACAGCTAGCAGCTGGCATTCATGTTTCTACCCCAACGGAATCAGCAGGACGATGAAAGGACATGGGCGCACCAAGGTAGACTGATGTAGTGTTTGAACAACCTACAGGAGCTCATGACACGATCCTTTATTCGGAGCTCTCCTGTGAGCTATTCTGACAGCCCCCTGGGGACTCCTTTGAGACCTAATCGCTTGGGATGCCAGGTGTAAGTGCCGCTCGTTCTGTGAATGATGTTGTAAATGGTAAGATAACAGGACCTTACCAGCGCAGCGTCCGAACAAGTTGAAGGGGCGAAGACCTCGCGATGTTTCTCCCGGTTAGGAATTCTTCGCTGCGCAACTCTCCGTCACATCTCGGGAATCCAAACCTGAACATATTTGACGGATATAGGTCCACTCATTTGCGGCGTGGACAAGGCTGTCTGGTAACAGTATCACAGCCTAGCGTAGTAGAGAAGCGTACATGGCTGAGCGCAGTGCATTAGTGCCACACTAGTGCTAGCGCGAGCGGAGCCTCAGACAATGACCTTTACCATCCCACGATCTCCCTAACGCCTCAGAACACACATGGCTGCGTATGGCCTTCGATAAGCCCGCTGGTCATGCAGTCACACGACTTTGTGAAATCAGTTCCTTCGGTCGATTCGCAGTGGCAGGACCGAACCGCCAAGCGGCTTGCAATCATTTGCCATCAAGAGGGCTATTAGTGATCACATTACATAGTACAGTCAGTACGGAGTGTAAAATGTCAGTGGAAAAGCAATAAGTTAGTGCAGGTCTAACACGCCGATCCATGCGGAGTTCTTCTCCTAAATTCAATATTAATGGCTCATGCAGCAGCAGCAGCGGACCCTCACATTGACCAACTACCCCGACCCTCCTCGCGCCCTCATCTGCACAACATGCGCCGCTGCAGACCTCGGGGAGAACGGGCTGCTTACTGGGTTGAGCTCCGACTTGCCCATCTGGCTCGGCCCACTTCCAATCGCAGCTCTCGCACTGAGCCCCGTCGGCTCAAACGGCGGCGCCGCCCCAGACAGACTCGACCCGCTCACCGACGGCGGTGCGGTGTTCGGTCCATGTGGACCCATCGAGCCGGGTGCAGGCGACGACTCCCCGCTGCCGCTCCCGCTCCCGCCTGAGACGGAGGGAGAGTACGACGAGCTCGACTTCGCCTGCGTATGTCCGGAGGCCTGTACACTGAGGTTGGGACTCAGCTTGTCGCGCTGCAGATGGATGACGCCCGGCCCTGCGCTGAGCTCGCGGTGGCTCGGGAGCGAGAGGCGCATGCCGTGCGCGGGGCGCTGGATCGGCTGGACGGGCTGCGCAGGCGAGAGGTTCGCGCGGGGGCTGACGTGCGGGAAGGGGTGATGTGCCTGGTGCGGATACGGGTGCGTGTGCCGTTTGCGGATGTGCGGCAGGTGTTGGGGATGTCCGTGAGGAGGGTGGGCGTGGGTGGGATGATGCGCAGTGTGGGCCGGGTGACCATGCGCGAAGTGCTGGTGCTGGTTGTGGGCGTGATGGTGCCCGTCTGCCCGTGCAGGCGACTGTCTCTCCCTCGACCTCTCCTTGCTGCTCGCTCTCCCCTCCACTTCGTCCCTCTCATCTTTTCCTCTCGTTCCGACATCTCCTTCGTAACCCCACGGATCTCGTTCCACCTTCTCCCTCTCTTCTTCCAGCTTTCTCAGCTTCTCTTCCAGCTCCCCAATCGTCCCTCCGCTATACGTTCCATCCTCGCCCTGCACACCTTCAAGCTTCTCTCTCTTCACCGTCAAGCGTTCCAAGGTTTTAGCCAGCGTGCTCAATTCTGTCATCCAGCCCTCTTTCTTCCTCCTCTCCTCTGCCTCGACCTCTTCTCGCTCTCTGCGCTTCTCCTCTGCTTGCACCCTCACTGCCTGCATCTCCCGTTCCCGCTCCCTCTCCCGCTCCTCCAATTGGGGGACCTCGCCCTCCACCTCCCTCCTTCGCTCCTCCATCTCGTCCCGCGCGACCTCCGCCTGCTTCCTCGCCTCTCTCAGCGCCAGTGCTTTCTGTCGTGCACGCTGCTCCTGCGCGGCGCTGCGCTCCGCCGCCCGCTTGAGCGCCTCGATCTCGGCACGCAGGGCGGCGTCTGCCTTTTGCGATTCCCTTCGCGTCGACTTGACCATCGCGGTCAGCTGCGCGTGTTCGTTGTTGAGCGCTGAGAGCGCGTGGGTGAGCTGCTGTCGGCGGTCCTCCAGCGTGAGCGGCGCGGGAAGCGGTGTGGGTGTGGATGTGGGTAGGGAAGATGATGAGGCGGATGGGGAGAGCGCGCTGGTGGCGGATGCGTGATTGCGAGGGGGAGAGGATGGCGATGTGTGTGAGGGAGAGGTACTGAGATTGAGGTGGCCGGTCGTGTGCAAGTCGGCATGCGATGGGTCCGATGTAGCCTCGGTTTCTACATGAATGATTGTCAGTGTCCCAGCGTGATCGTCGCAGGTCATGGAGGGAAAGTCTTGGGTGCGGCGTGATGAAGACGTCTGTCCAACACTAGAAGCAGCGGGCCAGAAGGAGATGACTGCCCTCTGCTGCCCCGGAACCGGACTGCTATCGCTATCTCGAGGAGCTCCGGGCGATACGGGGTGTATCTGATCGTCTGAGCCTCCCCGAGCTATTATCTCAAACGTCGGATGCACGTGAGTCTTGTTTGCCCTCCTGCAGCCAGAAAGGATATCCGGAGCGTTCCCGCGGAGGTTTGAAGGAACTGTCTCGTCTGCCCACGGGAGACTACTCCTACACGCCGTTCGCCACTAGCCATCACCCCCACGCCATTACAGGCCGCACTTCGACTTTGTATCGTGACGCGGGATATGAATTGTATCCAAAAAAACAAATCAGATGCCCGTGGTGATACACCCTGCATCCTTTTCAATTGAGCGAAGCAGCATCCACTTCAATACGACTTCCCGGGCCTGCCAGCCAAAAGGGAACGAATATACAACTCAAGTCCGAACACTCACCAGTTACGATCTGATTCCTCAAGACTCCGTGCTTGTCGCTAGGCATAACTCCGAGTTCCACATCGTACTGCCGTCCGGGCATGAGTCCGAACAGGATGATGACCGCCTCATCCGCCTCCTCGTCCACCCGTATGAGCACGCGCTGCCAGGGGATGCCGTTCACCTTCACCGAAAGGCCCTTTGAGAGGACATCTGCGACGACCTGCTCAGTCCGTGGCCCCGAGCCTGCGCCCAAGCCGTCGTCGTGGTCTTTGTCTTCTTCTGACCTTGATGGCTCGGGGGAGCGGGAGGAGGAAGAGAAGCCAAAAGGGGACGATGGCGAAGATGGAGAGGGTGGAGAAGGCGCAGTGTATGGTGATGAGAGGATAAAGGTCGCAGAGACGGATGTAATCTCGCGCACGGAAAGCGAGAGGGTGGGACGCCAGGGTCGAATTGAATGCCATTCAGATAGATCGTCCATGTCGCTACGTCGGGTGGCCCGGCTGCTGGTACTTTCAGGAGACAGTCGTGGTTTCAGCTTCGAATATTCAAATCACCGCGCTCTTTCTGGTGACAATGCTGTACAATCCCGAGGGATAACCACAGCTTGCATGTCGGTGGCGTCAAGAAGTAGTGAAAGCGATGGAAGTCACGTGGAAAGGTTTGATGCAAAAATGAAGAGCACAAAAAAAAAGTTTCCGACACGGGGAATCGAACCCCGGGCTATCGCGTGAGAGGCGATAATGTTAGCCACTACACCATGTCGGATTGTCTGTTTTGGAGAGCTTAGTATAGATATGTATCATCACATTGCAATCCTACAACCTCTTGGCGAGCAAGTGGAACTCCCACTTGGACGAGCACACATACGATTGTTCTCGATTAACATGCCTTCTGCACTCATTCTCATAGCCGACGGAACTGAGGAGATTGAATTGTAAGTACAACCACATGAGGCAAACAGAGACCTCTCTTCCGATATCTCTCCATAATCTCCACGTTTACCTTGCTGCTATGCTCACGAATCTAACCTGACCCGGCAGCACCATCACCTATGACACTCTCGTCCGGGCTGGTGTCAAGTGCACCTCCGCGTATGTTCATTCCGAAGAGACCGCCTCGAAGGACCGGATGAGCCCGCCTTTCGTGCAGGGCTCGCGCGGAATCAACATCCTCCCCGACACGTACCTCTCGCAGCAGGCTCATGCCCCAGTGCGCGTCACGTTCACAATATGCATACGATGAACGCTTCCGTATGTAATGGCTGATGATAACCTATGGGGACAGGACCATTATGACCTACTGGTGATCCCCGGTGGCGCTAAAGGCGCGGAGACAATCTCGAGCAGCTCGCCCGTGCAGTCCCTCGTCAGGGCATACCTGAAAGAAGGGAAGTACGTTGGAATGATTTGCGCAGGTGCATGGTCCTCGCACTGCGAACTAGGGCACAATCTTCATTGCAGACAATCGCTACAGGAAGCCTAGCAGCTCTTCGCTCCGGCTTACCCAAACAGCCGCTCACCTCGCACCCAAGCGTGAAGAGTCAACTCGAGAAAGGTGCAGCCATTCGGCTATAAGTTTCTTTCTGTTTGTGAGTTGCTCACGCGTTGATTTGTCAAGACTTCGACTACTCGGAGGAGCCCGTGGTCGTGTCCGGTCATCTTGTTACAAGGTACTCATGCTTTTGTTTTTTTGAATGGACGACGCGTACACTGAGGCGTGGCATCCTTCTCAGCCGAGGGCCAGGTGAGCATCCGTTTACTGCTTCGTGTATGGGCTTCTGCTCGGGAGGAGACGGAGAGATGTTTGCCAAAGGCTGGAGACTCAACCATTCTCTCGTCCCTCGTCACCTTCGCTGTCCATGCTGGGTCATCTTACCCCATCCGCAAAGAGCAGTTTGCTCTTCGACCGTAAACACATCTCGGTATTGAACTTCTGTCCCTGCAGGCACCGCCTTCCCCTTCGCGCTCACACTCGTTGAGCTGCTCTGCGGGGAGCAGAAGCGCACAGAAGTCGCGGGCCCGATGATCTTCCCGCCTGGGACGTTCGCGTGAGCTGTTGTCAAGAGTGCAGATGCGACGAGTCAAGACGGAATTGCGGCAGAACATTATGCGTGCGTGCAGGATTAGTGCTGAGTAAAGTAAGTCCTGTATATTTGTATGATATTTCGAGTGCCGTACTCTGTTGTGATCGACTCGGTCCTTTATCAAGCGTGTTGTAGGAGGAAGATCAGCATGGAAGGTGGTGGCAGCGACGGCTTCAAGAAAAATAGATCGCAGGAAGTGCATCGGATCATATGCGATGCATTTGAAGGAATCGACACCGCTCACCTCTCCCCAGTCTGTCTGTCACTGACTGCCCATATATGCTGCTGGACCTAAAAATTGTACTGTACGGCATGGGCGCATGGCGAAGTCAACGAGCGTGCTGTTCGTCATGCGTTGTGTGGTGGTAAAAAGTCCTGAAATGAGATGTTACCATGATGCGAGTTGGCCTTCGCAGGTGCCCAGCGACCCCACCTCACTGGGTGCATCGGATTCGTAGCCTGAGACTGCATGACGGACGAGCTGGTCGGCCGACAGTGACTCAAAGTTGCCAGGAGAACACGCACCGGCAGGACTTCTGCTGATGCGCGAACGAGTGGACAGGCTCTGCTAACAGCGACGGCATGTACGAAATCTACCAATATCAAACAGGTACCGAGGCCTTTCCGAAGCATGCGTTATCACGACTCGTGATGCAAATGCTGAGCATCAGCCAGTGCGGGGGATACATTGACATAGATTTAAGTATTAAATGCATCTAGTCACCGCTGCTCACAAGCGAAAGCACTTCAGGGCCGCTGCACATTCCAATCCAAAATTCAACCACGATATTGTCCGGTCGAGTACGGGTAGCACCTGTGGTCTTTGAATTCGGCCAGAGGTAACCCGTAGCCATCGATGGCAAGGATAAAGTTATGCCAAAGAAGGCATTACGGCAGGCGAATGATCATAAAACGGCCGCTCATCAAGCGCCTGTGTGTGTAAGGTACGACTCTCGATGTCGCATGCAGTTGATCCAATAGGCTGCAAGTCGGCGGTGGCGACATTCGCTCGATGATGCGCTTAAATATCGAAGTTCAAAGAAGAGGCTCAGAAAAGGATGACAACGGAGAGGAATATGGTCTTCATCCGACTTCATACCGCAGGTGAGTAGCATATACGACGGCAAAACAGTCAACGATTAATGGAATGGTCGCGACACCTTGAAATACCAGACGTGATGTGGCGTAGGAATAGAGTGGGTGGTGTACAAAGTGACAGTAATTATACAGGTCGGGACGATGAGCACTACTACTTGTATACAAAGTCGTATGGCTCATTCCAATCCTCTCTATCCTGATCTCGCCATATTGGTTCCAAGACATCCCAGGGCTCCCTAGAACTGAAGTGTTTTTGCACAACATCTTCATTCACACCTGCTCGCAACAGCGTGCTAGCGCATCTCTCCACATCGTCTATTCTATGTATCTCGACTGAATCGATGGGTTGAGTTGCATGCCCAAAGTCGATCAGCACGCAATGGGCCAAGGTGGTATTTTCGGCGACGCTTGACTGTCTGTCTGCTCGAAGGTATCTATTGTATAGAATTTGCCCTGCGTGCCAGTCATGTTGAGAGACATTGGATGTCTGTAGTGCGTGGACAGCATGGCGAGCTGATACAACCTGGACAAGAATTTCTTCCATTCCTTGATTCGCGAACCAATGGCGACCAGATCACGTACCAGCTGTTCTTGCTCCCCCTCCGAAAGAGCGCCAACTACTTCAGCGGATAACGTTGGAGCTGGCACGTATTCAAGCAAGATTCCATACACCTTGTGCCGTTTGGGAGAACGAACTGTCACGGATGGGATCGAACAGCATCAGTACCATCCCAAAATGCCAAATAGTCCTTACCAAATGGGAGCCATAGAACCACGGAATGAGAGCGCCTTGCATAAATGCGAGTGTTTTATACGCCGCATCTTCCTGTCGAACTAGGTCCTCAGCACATAAATACCGGTGGAATAGATATCTCAGACTCCAGGTTGTGAGGCCCTCATCGGATGTTTCCATATTCCAGAAACGGTTGTCGAAGAGTTTCAAACACATGTCAGAGGTTATATGTGCAACATATTTTCCATCAACGGATCGAAGGCGACACCTGTAGGTCCTGCACATCCGGCGGGAATTCTGAGGGGTGAGGTCGTCAATGAGTTCCACGTGGAATTTGCTAGATGACTTGAGGAGATCGATAGGGGCAGATACTGGACGGTGAATAGAAGCAATATAACGCATAGTATCCGAAGAGACGTCGCCTGGACGATAGATGGCAACAAACTCAGCGTTGTGACGGGTGAAGTGCCCTGTGATCCCTTCAACCAGATCCCCGACGTTGGCGATCTGAAGGGATACATTGTTTTGAATCCAATTCCTCCACCTGAAAAATTGCAAGGCTCTGTCGCGATTGTGTGTAATGGTGTAGGTATCGAAGTCGGAATGCTTGCATTGTGTTGCAAAGATGTCTTCATCAATCGGAACAGGTAAGGTCGGATCATTTGGAGCTCCATCTGGTAAGACAAACTCAAGGCTGTCTACCATGAACATCTGAGGGAAGTATTCCACGGCAGACAAGGACTCGCAGAGAAACGCAGCGATAATAATACGTAGGGCACGCAAATCGCACAGAGAACGGAATTCCACTTCCGAACATCACGTAGATTGATCCTTCATTGAGTTGATGATTGCTACTCTTCGACAGTCCGTAACAATAGTAGTTGCATCGTCAGAGTGTTCAAGTTTCTGCAACAGACTGGATAGCTGGGGAGATAATACACCAAGTTCAACCGTTCCATGGGGCTGAACGATTGATCAGCGCGCACCGGAGAATTCGAACGATTTATGAGCTCACAACGAACAGGATACGTGGCGACTCGTAGGCATACAAGCAAGTCCCATCTCCCTCGAGGGAAAAGGTGATCATCGAGGCTTTACCTGAATGTAAGCGTGAGGACCGATAAGGCAAACCATCACTTACAACTTTGATCAATCAAATCAAGGCGGCACCGTACGACTGGTTGTAGAGGTGAACGGATTTGAGAGAACAGCTGGGCTAAAGAATTCGCGAAAACCTCTGGGTAGTAAGAGTGCAAACTGTCAAGAATTTCAGCGGCAACAAAATCTCTACGATGTGCCGCAGTACTCTACCTGGTCCATTTTGCATCATAACCGAGAATGGGTCACCGAACACGCATCGGAAACAGCCATCGCAGAGTCCTCGACAGCCTTACAACAGGTAGCCTTAACAATGATTGTGAGGCTACCTTCAAGACTGGATTATGTCCTATAAATCTCGGCGGCACCTCCTCTATACGTCGATTCAACGGAGCCTTGACCTTGGCCAGATGTGGCGGTGGCGGTGTTAACTGGAGCAGGCACTCGTACGGATGTAATCGTACGTCCACACCAAGGCTGAATATCCTTCGCAACTTGGCATGTGGCGTCAGTGGAAGGGGGAAGACGAGGCGGGCGATGCGATGGACAAGAAAGAAGGCCATATCTGTATACCAGTATATCGGATACGAATTGACAAGGGCGTCTATCATACCCACGTTTCGTTACTTGTGCAAGTTGTCGCAAGTGGGGCCAAGTCTCAAACGGGGCTCCTGATGCCTTGCCACAGGACTCCAAGATGCCCTGTCAACGATTAAAGGCCTAGTGACTGAACAGCGCACCTACTTTCGTCGATCTGAGTTGCGACTTGCTGGACCGACATCCGACGTTCGTGGGCGTTCATCTAATAGTTAAAAATGTATTGCACATTGTACAAAGCAAATCGCACAGTATAGGACAAGGGGAAACAGTTGACTTCCGTAGACGACCTGCCGAAATGTGCGTACGTAGATGGGGAGGGGAGCTAGGAGTGGGCCAGCGCCACGGGGCACGAAGATGGAAATGGGGACGAGGATGGAGATGGGAGGATAGATGGAGGGACGGGGTTAGCGGACGGCGGCAACAACAAGACGGCTATACAGAAAACAGTAGTGAACACCAATGCGAGGGTATGCAAGACATGTGTTGCGTTTTGCGTGGTCCGAGAACAGATGCGTGAGCTGTGTATGTACAGACGTAGGTTGTAAGGAAATCCGATACGACGAGACGAAGCGACGAGAGATTAATGGTCTACGTTCAACGCTCAGCGCTCAACCATGGTAGCCATGGCGAGCATGGCTACCCTCACCATGGCCATCGCTCGGGTGAGCTCGGTGACCTTGGTGAGCCTGATAGGTCTGATGCACCTCGTGACTGGGATGCGTCTGACGGTTCTGGTAGGACTCGTGGCTCTGAAGCACCTGCCGACTCGGAACGGCCTGGCGACTTGAAGAAGCCTGGCGGTGATAATGGGCGTGCTCAGTCTGGACGGCCTGGCGACTCGAAGAAGGCTGGCTGTTGCGAGGGGCCTGTTCACTCTTAACAACCTGGTGGCTCGAAGAGGTGTGGCGGCTGTGATAGGCCTGCTCAGTTGGAGCGGCCCGATGGCTCGAAGAGGCTTGGCGGCTGTGGTGGGCCCGTTCGGGCTGACGCGCCTCATGCTCATAGTACGGCGTGGGCTTAGCATAGTACGCTTGCGCCGCGGCCTCAGCGGCGGCTATTGCCTCGGCTTCCGCAAGCTCCTCTTGCTCCTCCTGCTCCCGCTGTTCCTGGATGAGCTCCTTCAACCGCGGGAGCACCTCCGCGAGGTTCACATTCGTGCCCTCGTGCCAGCGCTCCAGTGCCCACTGCCGCACATACACACTGGCCTGAATGAACAAATTGGTCATCAAGTGCGGGGAATGTATAGCGAGACGTCGGACTAACCTTCAAGTATCTCTTCGATGCGTACTTCTTGTAGAAAATGTCGTGCCTGATTGGTTTGAGAACGTAGTTGAGCATCATGTTGGCTGTGGGGAGCAGCTCACTCTCTGCATAAGAGGAGTAGTGTGCCAGGTTCGGAGTCTGTAAGAACGTCATTAAACGAGAAGCAATTTCGCGTAAGAATGCCACAGCGTACCCATTCCGGAAAGCCGAGAATGATGCGCGCAAACCAGATCGCCGCCGCCGCAAGGAGTGAAGGCGGCGCAGCGATGAGGCGCCATTCGAGGCACTGGATCTCAAGGAGGTATTTCGCCACAGTGCGCACTTGGGTGTTATAGTCATCCGCTTTGCTGATCCGGCGCAGGAAGTGGATCGGGCTCGGATAACTCAGATTCCAATCAACCGTTTTTAACACGTAACGTTCAGCCTGAAGAATCTCAGCCTCGTTGTAGCTCGAGTCTGCGACGTGCAGGAAGTTCTCCACGCTGGGCGCTATAACCTCTTCCACCTTCGAAGCGATGAACATGCACGTGACTCCCACGAGCTGCAGCTTCGCAAGCGAGACGACACGTGCCGATAGGAACCTATCGATGAGGTTGACGCAGAGGAAGAGCGTCTCAGGCAGGAGTGTGAAACGTGCGTGGACTTGAATGAGCCAATCCATGAGAATGCCGCGCATCTTCCATGCGAGATCCTTCTGAGTTTCCATGTAACGTGGGTTCGGCATCGTTGTTTGCTGGGGAAATATAATCATGTCAGTCGACGATATGTCACAACACAGTAGAAAGCTTACCTCCATTCGCTTGAGGTATTCGAAGATTTCAACGACATATTCACTGACCATGAGCGGGTCGTCAGCATCTTCGGCGTCGAGGTCCTCCCAGTCAAGTCCATTTGGATCCGCCTCTGGCGTTCCCGCGTCTGATGTTCCCGCGTCTGGCGTTCCCGCGAATCCAATGGCCTCCTCGACCTCAGCAGCTGCCTCCTCGTCGGGTATGTCAGAGGAAGTGCGCCGCTTCTTGATTGCACGATCGGCTTCCTCATCTTCCTCCGGACGACGGGCGTACGGTGTCCGACCGGCGCGTTTTGGCGTCCGAGGTCGGATAGCATGTCGCTCTACTGCCGCAGAAGTTCGCGCGGCCGTAACCCGTTGAGGCGCAGATACAGGAGCAACGGGGGGTTGCGGGGACATTATCATCGCGTTTTCATCCTGTAAGAGCTCGACCTCCTCTCGGTTCTCCTCTATCTCCTCCTTCACTTCTTTGAGTTGATGCAATTGCTCGCGTTGATGCTCTAGATACTGGGCTGCAGGATTGGCGGAGGCAGCAGGCGCCTTAGTCCGTCGGGTGGTTGCAGCGGTGGATAATGTGGCGGTAGCGGTCGTACCACCAACGGTGCGCAACGGCGCGCGGGTGGTCGTCGCTGCTGTCGTTGTCGTCATGGTTGTCATTGTGGTGGTTGTCTTCTTGAGAACGACGCCTTCGAACTTGTCCTTGATCTGGTCGACGTGTTCCTTTCCCTTGAGGGAGGACATGCCAGACCCAACGTTGATCGGCTTCGCAGCCATGTTCTCGGGAGGATGTGGCACCTCACTCAGAGCCTCTCGCTTACGTTTCACCTGGAGCTGCGGCTTCACAGGAGGCGCAGCCTCCATACGTGAAGCCGTCGGGGCGACGCTCTTCGCTCTCGTAGATGCCGTAGGCCGCGCAATCCCTGATAGCTTAGCATTCTCTACTGCACTAGCTGAGGAGGGTTTTGCCCGAGAAGCCGCCGCGTGCACATTGCGAGCGGTAGAGTTCTCTTTGTTAGGCAGAACGCCGGTGGTCCGCGTTGCGCGCCGTGTCTGGCACGCCTGAGTACGCTGCACGAAAGGCAACCAAGACTAGCACTCACTGGTATGGCGGACGACATACGAGTACTTCACGATGTTCGAGGATAATCCTATGCTGATCTAACGGAAGAGAAAGGGATTAGCGAAGAGATAATCGCGAGGAGGATGAGCTGGACGAGCGTCGCACACGCGCGCAACGTTTTGTTCAACTTGCGATCCAAACAGCGGCACACAACACGGCGGCTCCAGCGCGTTCTCCACGTGACACTCACCGCGGCGGTGGCTGCATTTATATTCGTGGCTCTGCTTTCTCTCTTCTGGGAGCACTTGCTTTGGTTTGCGGGTGATGAGGCAGATACGCCTCTGGTCTGTGCACGCATTGAACGATACTCATCGTCATCTGCAATGGTCTCTGACTCGGGTATCATGTCGGTACTTCTCGAATACGCGATCTGCGCGTTCAGGCGACAAGGCTCAAAAGGATATGGACAAAGCCTATTCCAAGACCTTATTACTTCCCAAAACTAAATTTTCGCTCTGGAATGATCCCTCCAAGGATCAAGCATTTGTATCAAGGACATGCGACGAGTTGTATCGATGGCAGGTTAGGACGAGAAGTACACCCGCCTCGCCGTGCTAATCGCGAATTTGAAGTAGTGGGAAAACGCAAAGGGCCCGCTGTTTGTGTTTCATGACGGACCTCCATATGCGAATGGAGAGTTGCACATTGGTACGCTCCCTTGCATGTTGTAGCAATACGGAAATTATATTGGATGGCATTCTAAGGACATGCCCTTAACAAGATCCTAAAGGATATCATCAACCGGTATCATGTCTCCCTTGGTCACAGAGTACAGTGAGTCGCTGCAGCGTTGTCGAACTACACCTTGGACATGACGAAGCATAGCTACATGCCAGGTTGGGACTGTCACGGTCTTCCCATTGAGAACAAGGTGCTGGCGAAACTGGGTGTAGGTGATCGTCTTTATGGACATGATGTTCTGCTAAATGCGATGTAGAAACGCGCTCAAGACCTTTCCCCGGATGTCATCCGCATAGAAGCGGAGGCGTTCGCAAGAGAGGAAATGCGAGTGCAGCAGGACCAGTTCAGGCAATTTGGTGTGATGGCCAATTGGCAGCCTGAGTCTACATATCGCACTTTGGGTATGCGCTAGTAAATGTCTTCTGACAGAAACGCTGATGTTGCCAAAGATCACGACTACGAGATGAGGCAGTTACAGATCTTCCAGAAGATGGTAGAAAAAGGTATTCATCCTGTCCCATAACGGCTTTTCCGCTTTATGAACTTCGGTCTTTCCAGGTCTCATCTATCGAAACTATCGTCCTGTATACTATTCCCCGTCGTCGTCATCGGCACTCGCGGAAGCAGAACTGACATACAACGAGAAACATGTCTCGCATTCGGTCTATGTCGCCTTTGAGCTCAATACAGCCAGCCCGAACATGAGCACCACGCTTCGCACGCTCGTCACCGGACGAAAGAATGTACGGCTGCTGGTATGGACGACCACACCCTGGACTCTCACTGCCAACATGGCGAGCACACTGTTATTATAATACGGGTTACCGTAGACAAAGTGCTGATCGGGTTCTACTAGGCAATCGCTGTCAATCCGGAAATGATGTACAAAGCCGTGGCCGCTAGCGCTGACCCTACTGCGCCGTTGGACATATTTGCGTGTGATCTCGAGAATAACATAGCAAAGCACCCGGAAGTTCTCGGTTCTGCGGTCCCTATAGCTGAGATTCCAGGTACACCAAATCAATACCTCAAATGATCACGAAACAATGTTGATTTCTATTTCGTCCTTAGGACACGAGCTGGTCAATGCGACTTACCGCTCAATCTTCTCTTCCTTGCACGATACTGGCCCTCGCGCATCGCTTCCCATCCTCTCCTCCTCGCACGTTACGCCAGACTCCGGTACCGGACTTGTACACTGTGCCCCCGCTCACGGTGCTGAGGACTATGCTGTCATGCGTTCCCTCGGACTGCTCCCCTCTTCCTCTACGCTAGGGAGCCTGCTCTGTCACGTCGACTTGCTTGGGCAGTTCACAGAAGATGTAGCTGACGAGGTCGGCGAGAGGGCAGCGCATGCTTTGATCGGCAAGGATGTGCTTGGTGACGGCAGCAAGGCGATTGTAGAGCTTTTGATGAAGGCTGGCGCGCTCAGGAAAGTGCACAGGTATACCCATCGATATCCATACGACTGGAGGACAGACAAGCCCGTCATCGTTATGTAAGATCTGTCACTGCAAGGGATTCTCATCGACAGCTTAAACATATTCTTTTATAGTGCTACGTCGCAGTGGTTCGCGAGTACAGATCAGATCAAGGAAGATGCCATCGCTGCACTCGAAGACGTGGCCTTCCACCCTGCGGCTTGTGCGTATGACCAGCTGTCTTATTGTCATTTTTGTCCCTCATCTACTACCCTCTAGCGCGCAACCGACTAGAATCTTTCGTCCGCTCGCGCTCGGAATGGTGCATCTCCCGGCAACGGGTTTGGGGCGTGCCTATTCCCGCTATGCACCACATACCCACAGGACGCTCACTCCTCGACTCCGCCAGTCTCGACCACATCCTCAGCATCTTGCAGGAGAAGCGGACGGAGTACTGGTGGAAGGGACCCGTACACGAATTCGTCCCGCCCGCGTTGCGGGACGGCATGGACGAGCGGAAGCTTGCAGAGACATGGCGTAAGGGCACGGACACGATGGACGTGTGGTTTGACAGTGGCACTTCCTGGTCGATGCTGGACGGGCTGTACCGTGAGGGCGGAAGTGGAAATGGGCGGACCTTCGGTGCAGACGTGTGCCTGGAGGGCTCCGATCAGCACCGCGGATGGTTCCAGAGTCAGCTGCTGACGGCGATCGGATCGGCTACGGCAGAGGAGCGCAAAGGCGTCGCGCCGTATAGCACGCTCATCACGCACGGGATGGTGCTGGATGAGTCGGGAAGGAAGATGAGCAAGTCCGTGGGGAACGTCATCAGTCCCATGGCCATCATCCATGGTGGGAAGGTGAGTGGAGCTGTTTGGCTGCGGGAATATATGCTTATGTGGTGATTGTAGGACAAGAAGAAGGAACCTGAGTATGGCACGGAAGTTCTCCGTCTATGGGCAGCTACCGTGGAGTTCACAAAGGACATGCACATCGGCCCGACGTTGCTCGCTCAGTGCAAAGAGACGCTGCGCAAGATTCGGAACACGGCGCGCTTCATTCTAGGTGTGCTGGGAGACCAGCAAAATTCTGACAAAGCTGATAGAAAGGAATTTGGTTTGGTGCGTACCTGAGCTACTTAGTAGATCCATCTTCTTGACAGTACAGCTAGGCGGAGCGCTACGTGATGCACGAGTTGTACAAACTGGAGCAGGAAAGCCTGCGGGATTACGCTGCGTTTGACTTTCCCAGAGGTGAGAAATGCTACGATCTCATTCATGTCATTTACCCTGATAGCTCGCAGTGGTGAACGGGCTTGCAAATTTTGCGAGCATCACGCTCTCCTCGCTGTACCTCGACATCACGAAAGATTGTTTGTATGCAGACGCGATATACAGTCTGGAGCGACGCAGGGTCGTCACCGTACTTGAGCAGGTCACTCACATGCCTTGTACAAATAAATTGGGCCGCTGACATCATGCAGGTATTGAACACAATGACCTCGGTAATGGCACCTATATTGCCTTATGTTGCCGAAGAGATACATGAAATCCTTCGTTCCGCTCCGGGCACTTCGGTCTTTACGAAGAAGTGGACACAGCTGGTAATATTCGTCCATTGTTTCGATTGTGATCGCCTTAGCCTTAATTCATCTTTCTAAAGGATAGCAACTGGGAAGATTCAGATGCTGAGCGTGACATGAATGAGCTTCTTCGCATACGCAGCAAAGTGTTAGCTGCGCTCGAGCATGCCCGTCAGGACAAGTACAGACTTGCCTTGTTAATGACGTCTCCAGATGCTCATAAAACACGTATAGGAAACTTCGAAGTTCTCTGGAAGCTGGTGTACAATTGACCTTGCCAGAGAGTGTACCTCAAGGTGTCCAGCATCTTATCGACGTCCTGCGTCGTGAAGGTAAGGTTACTGTTGACCAATGTCACTGAAACAGAACACTCACTTTCGGAAATTAGAATCTTTCCTGAAGACGCTTTTCATCGTCTCAGATGTGTCGCTATCCGCAAAAGATTATACACCGCAGCCAGGTGGTTGGGTGTATTCGGAGTCTCTTCCACTCGGTGGTATGCAAAATAATCGTACGAAACGCGTCTTCATTGCTGATTCACGACACATCAGGCTCTGAAGCATCAGTGAAAATCATCGTGCATCCCGCCACCTTAAACAAGTGTCCCCGATGCTGGGCCTACACGCGGTCGAAGGAAGAGACATTGTGTCACAGGTGCTCAGAGGTCGTGTCTGTCAGCTAGAGATACATTACATTAGCACATAATTATCCCACCATGAGCCTCCTCTCACGCACACGTATCAGAATCTACGGTAATCCTCAATAAGCGCGTCGCCACAATCGCGGGCGTTTAGCGCGACCCTCATTAAACTTTTGTGTGTATTACGAGCGTGTACCGATAGACTTTCGCACTCGTGAGTGTCTATCTCCATCCGAGACTGCATGTTCCCTTCTCGCAATGCGACGATACGATTAACTCGACTTGCCAGCTCGTTTACACGGCATCGCTTACCCCATCTGATAGCGACCTCTAAACGCGTCGAGTCAGTCAAGAAAGGCGCGCTTTACTGCTGCTTCAGATCTCTCTCAACTGCCACTATGTCCATCGAAAGCTTCACTCAGTCGCTTGCGGGCCTATCAATTCAGCCGCATGCCGTCGTCTCGCATGGCGAGACGAGCTCTCCGGCCGCGTGGCGGGAGGCCCTAGAGGCGAGCTCGTCTGCGCCGAAATCGTTCGAGCTGATCAAAACGCTGGTCTACAAGCCTAAGACGGCGAAGACGGCGACCCCTGTGCCGCTGGTCGTCATCGCGCGAGAGAACACGGATGTTGTCTCCAGTGCAGTGGGCAAGAAGCTCGGGCTGAAGGACCTGCGTTGGGCGTCGGACGACCTGCTGAACGAGTTTCTCTCGCTCGATAAGAACTCGCGTATGTTTCTTCCGCTCGTATCAATCATATCTATCTGACACGATCAGACAGTATCCCCACTCGCCCTGACAGAGCAGACGTACCCAAAAGTCACCACCGTGATCGACACCAGCATTATCTCCTCCTCCACCCCCTTCGCCGTCCGCGGCTTGTCCTCGAGTTCAACTCTCTTCCTGTCCGGCAAGGACATCCATGCGTACCTGAAGCGACTCTCGAGCGAACAGGCTCCGCTGCACGAGTTTGACTTTGAGGCTATCAAGGTTGAAGTGGATGGCCCTGCCAAGGCTGCTCCCGCGAAGAAGGAGAAGGAGGAGGCAAAGATTGAGGGCGCGATTCAAGTGGCGATCGGCATCAAAAAGGAGGTGGACTTTTCGGCCTGGTACACGAATGTGAGTCCATATGTGTAGGGGAAATGCCATGAAGTGCCGATGCTCAAACCCGCTCTCATAGGTCTTGATCAAAGCAGACATGTTGGATTACTATAACGTCAGCGGTTGCTACATACTCCGCCCGTGGTCATATAGCATCTGGGAGGTCATCCAAGGTACGCTATCATCCACGATTTCCATTCTGATCAGTAGGCTAAAAGACTGCCAGATTGGTTCAACGCGCACATCCGCGACATGGGCGTGCAGAACGCGTATTTCCCGATGTTCGTATCGGCAAAGGTGCTTGAGCGCGAGAAGGACCACATTGAGGGTTTCTCCCCCGAAGTGGCTTGGGTAACGCGCGCGTAAGTTGTTCCACCGAGGTGCCTCATGCAGGTGCTAATAGTGTCTCAGTGGAAGCTCCGAGCTCGAGGAGCCGATTGCTGTCCGTCCGACATCGGAGACTGTCATGTACCCGTACTACGCGAAGTGGATCAAGAGCCATCGCGATCTCCCTCTCAAGCTTAACCAGTGGAACAATGTCGTGCGCTGGGAGTTCAAGAATCCCCGTGAGCATAGCGAAACGCGTGTATTTCTGTTCTGATTATTTCGCGCCAGAGCCATTCCTGCGTACACGTGAATTCCTGTGGCAGGAGGGCCACACCGCACACCTGACGAAAGCTGAGGCCGACGTCGAGGTCCGCGAGATCCTGGACTTGTACAGGCAGGTGTACGAGGACCTCCTTGCAGTTCCGGTCATCCAGGGTGTCAAGTCCGAGAAGGAGAAGTTCGCAGGCGGTCTGTACACGACCACCGTCGAGGGATTCGTCCCGACCACTGGACGCGGCATCCAGGCAGGCACGTCCCACTGTCTTGGCCAGAACTTTTCGCGCCCGGAGATGTTCAACATCTTCGTCGAGGACCCGAATGACCCGACCGGCCAAGGCAAGACATACGTCTGGCAGAACTCGTGGGGCTTGTCGACGCGTGCCATCGGTGTGATGGTCATGATTCATGGAGACAATCAGGGTCTCGTGCTGCCTCCCCGTGTTGCTTCGATCCAGGTCATCATCGTGCCGTGTGGGATCACGGCGAAGGCGACGGACGAGTTGCGGAATGCCATCAACACGAAGTGCGAGGAGCTCGCGACCCGTCTCAAGAAGGTGGGCATCAAGGCAAAGGCAGATCTCCGTGAAGGTTACACTCCCGGCTGGAAGTTCAACGAGTGGGAGCAAAAGGTGTGTTGCTCGTTCCCGTTGAAGGCAGTCGTTCTCTCATCTTGCTTCCCAGGGTGTTCCGCTCCGTCTCGAGATTGGGCCTGCCGACCTCACGAAGCAGCAGACGCTCAGCGTGCGCCGCGACACGGGTGTCAAGGCTCCGCTCCCTCTGGCAGACATCACGTCGTCTGTGCCGAAGTTGTTAGATACGATCCAGGCAGAGATGTTCAAGCGTGCGCAGGACACATATTTCTCGCGCCTGAGGAAGGTCACACGCTGGGAGGACGTTGTGCCGACGCTCGACGACAAGTGCGTCGTCGTCATGCCGTGGTGCGAGGAGGAGTCGTGCGAGGACGACATTAAAGAGCGCAGTGCGCGGTCGTGAGTGGCCGTTTCTCCGAAATTGGGTGCGCCAGACTGATTTGGTCGCATCCAGAGCGGAGCCTCAAGATGAACGTGCGCCGTCTGCGGGAGCGAAGTCGCTCTGCATTCCGTTTGAGCAATCGAGGTGGCCAGCGATTGAGCCTGGCAAGACGAAATGCGCGGCGTGCGGTAAGGATGCAAAGAGGTGGACGATGTTCGGCCGCTCGTACTGATCCGGCGGGGGATGATTGCACGACTTTCGCGGGAACTGTGAATCTTGAAGTTAAAGGTTACGAACGTATGTAGCATACCCTGCTTGATAGGTTGCAACGGATTGTGTTAGTGTCTTGTGCACTAGAGTTGCGACGGAGCGAATTGTGAATCCTTGCTTTGGATGAACGTGTCGCGACCACGTGCCTCAGCCACAGACGCGTTTTAAGCAGCCTGCGCTCGCCCTTTCTTGACTTTCACCTTCATCCGCACTACGATTATATACCATCCTGCGATGCCTAGGAAAGTGGTGAAGAGGAATGGCCCAACACAGGTTATCAATAGACCTAATCCTCTGCCAGAGGCCGTCTTGAACGAAATCGAAAATGCCGAGGGATGGGCCTCCGTCGTGCACATCCTCTGCGATTCTTTCAAGTTACCAGGTCAGTGTGTCATTTTCATGCCTCCAACCGAGTTTTAAAAGCACTTTCAAGATCTTACGAAGCGCAGTGGCCTCAAGAAGATCTATCTGCGCTTCAATGAAACCTACAACATGCTCGACGACGCGTACGTAAAGAACGCCGGCAACATTAAAGTCACGGGAGGTATCGTTGGAATATGGGCGAAGATGTCTGCCGACGCTCTTCTCCGGGACAAGCTACTCAAAGAAGGTAAGGAACGTCGCTTTCACTGTGCTAAGCAGCTGAGTGCATCCGCTTTCTACAGCCTTTGTGTCGAAGCTGGTCCCGCTGCTCGATATACCCTTGACTCGTTATATCGTCTTGCAGGCACTGTCTACCGTGACACACCATGGAGGACTAGTAGCTAGGCACGAAATTGCGAAGCTCACTCCCACACTTCTTCGACTCCTTGGAGAATTTCCCGATGACGACGCGCTCACTGAGCTCACTACAGTGATCATGTTTCATGCAATAGGCGCGGTCATTGGCCAGGAAGAGGATCCCGATCCACAGCTGCTGAGACGTCTTGATATGCGCTCTGTGCTCAAAATCACCACGGACAACCTCCGCAAGCCGAGCGCGTCGCGCCTGATGATCAACCACGCGATGGGTATTCTCAACAGCGCAACGCTTCATTGCCACAAGGAATGCAAGGCTCTTCCGTCCCTCGTCACCTTCCTTGTCGCGTGTGTCCGCGGTAACGATCTCATCACCCGGTGCAATGCTCTCGGCGGGCTCATTCGCCTCAACTACAAGGAGTCGGAGCCCGACATGCGCTTCTACGACCCGCAGAAGATGATAGCAGCGGTGCAGCGCCGCTTCCCGGACGAGCTGGTCGACAACATCATGGACTACGGCCTCGAGCGCTGCGACATGATGGTCACCCTCCAGTCGACGAAGAGTTTCCAGCACGCGATGATGGAGGTGGTGCGCACGCATGACCTGTATTCGCTCGGACATACGCTTGCGCGACTCATTCTGCGAACAGAGTTCTCCGTGGCAGACGGCATGTTCGAGGTGCAGAACGAACGCACGGGCAAGCTCGAGAAAATGGACGTGGGCCTACCGTTTACGATGTGGTCGGATGCACTGCCCCACTGCGTGCGCGCCCTTCGCGGGCGCGGGGGCAAGGCAGACCTGGACGCTGCGGACGTCGTAGAGATGAAACACTATATCATGAAGCAACGTGTCAGCGACTCGGTACAGATCGGCCTCAAAGTAATCGAACGCAACCCCCAGTTGGCGTACGCGTACTACGTGATCGCGCTGGGTGCGGATACCGAGCGGGGCTTGCGGTGCGCCAAAAAGGGCCTGAAGTGTAAAGAAACCACACCGTTCGTCAAGAACTATCTCCTCTGGCGTGCCGTCGAGCACGCGGGCAACATGGGTGTTACTCGGCTTCAGGAAGCAACGGCCGGCAGCAAAGATTATACTGAAGGGCTGGCATTCCTGACTTCGTCTCAGGAGGACGCGAAGCGGTTCATTGCCGAGGCACCTCCCGATTCGCGTAACATGGGCACTATCTTGGACTGGTACATCATTTGCACGATTGCGCTGAAAGGGCCGGAGTTGAGCGCCGACCTCCACGAACTAAACGTACGTGCAGCTTGAGTCTTCACATCGCCTCTTCTAATGAATGTGCGATACGGCCAGGACTACTTCAAGAAGGTCGAGCTCGCCGACAGGTTCGCCAACTTCTTCGGCTACCCTCCAAAGCAGACCCAGATGCGCCTCACCCGCGAGCTCATCGTCTCCAACTACCCCGCAGCCATGAAAAGCTGGGGTGCCGTCATTTCGCGCTTTGACACGATGGATCTGAACACCGAGCCGGATGCTCACGGCACCCCGTCGTCAGACAAAGTGTTCGACGGTCTCGCCGCGTGGCTTGACGACCTGCACGTTGACGACGGCCCAGCGGTGGAACAGCAGCGGCACTGCGTCCATCCCAGAGTCTCGCCCAATAGCGTCTCTCTGTATCGATGCTCGTACTGCGGCAATCCGAGCGCTGTATTGAGAAAGTGCGGCGGATGTGGCAAGACTAGGTACGTCGAACATGTCGTTGTGTGTTTTCGGGATGTGTCGATTGATATTTCCTGTAGATATTGCGACCAGTCCTGCCAGAAGTCCCATTGGAGCGAGCACAAGCGTGCATGCAAAGCCAATGCGTAGACGTTCAATTCGCCCTACTCAAGTGCGATCTACATTTCTTGTCATCTCTTGTGCTGTATTTGTGTCACATCTGTTTGCCCGTATGACCCGGTCTTCTGCTTTGCTGCCCATATGAATACCCAACTTGTCTGTACAACATAGAAGTGATAAATATATCGCACTCTCTGAGAGAGAAATGGCTGGCCGAAACAGTCCCTCATGCCGAAATCGACAATGTGTCCCGAAAGCAAAAACATATATGGGCCAGTATGAAATGCAGAAGCACTAAGATCTGCGACGCTTGTTCTTAGTAGCGTCCAGAGCGTCCGCCTTTCGCTCCTCGACCCTCTGTAGGAACTCGACTTTTTCGAGGTAGCCTCCTCCTCGTCTGTTTGCTTCGAGCTCGTCCTTCAGGCCCAAGAGCTCCTCCTTCTGAACGTGTGCTCGCCAGTCCATGGCAGACTTGTCCAAGGTCGTAAGCTTCTTTGCTTTTTGCGCACCAGGAAGCGGAGCGAGCGTCGTCTTCGCCTTGCGCGGTCCTGGCCGCTTGATCGTTGCTTTAGGAGCGGCGGAAGAGGATCCGCTGGCCACTGTAGATGGCTTGGCAGCTTCTGGAGGTTCAACTGGCGGAGATGCAGAGTCCTCTGGACCGACGGATTTGGATGGTTGAGATGCAGTGTTCTTGTGACCATCGGATGTGGATGGCAGCAATGCAGAGCCTTCGCGACTGTTAGATCTGGTAGGGTTGCTTTCGCGCTGTGTTCCAGAAGGCTCCCATCGGGGCCACTTCTTCGCTTCATCCGAGTCTTCGGGCACCTCCTTCACTTCTCTGCAAGGTATGCACTCGCACACATCACACGGGAAACACAAACTGCAGAAGCGCAAGTCGGGACTTACACGACGTCTTCCCCAGCAAAGCGGTATCGTCTCTCTATCTTCACCATCCGCGGTGGAGTGCTCGATGGCTTCGGCTGTGGCGCAGCTACGGACGCCTGGAATTGGGCCCACAGTGCATCGCGTTCTCTGTGACAGGACGTTATATATGCAGGATGGTATTGCGGGTTGGGCGTACCTCTTCTTCGCATCTTCGTCCTGCTCAGCGGGTTGTGGCGGGCTGGTGCGTGCACGCTTGGCTTCCGGTTCATCGTCCGAGGATAGAGTGTCTGTTTCGCCTGAGTGGAAGAGAAGGTATATAATGATTTCCAAGCTCACCCTCTGCTGTGGGCACGTAGTCAGGATCGTCGTCGGAATCGGAATCGTGGCGCATTGAGCTCTCTTCGTTCGACGAGCGTTCTGACGGTTCTGAGGTGAGTTGCTCTGGTCCGATTTTACAACACCAGAATATAGAAATCTGAGAAAGGAACTAAAGAAGTCCCTGGTAGTATATCGGTTAGTACACGCGCCTGTCATTTGGCGTAGCGGTTAACGCCCGCGCGAAAGCGGGGTTCGACTCCCCGCCAGGGAGAATACTTTTTACTTTCAAGTCTTTTTCGTATTGACTTCTCCAGTGATGATTGTTGCGATGGTGATTTCAGACCAGTATACTTCACTCATTCTATACATTAAACAGCAAGGAAGATTCCAATCCTAAGCGTTAGTTTGGGCAATTCGGTGACTGACATACCATGGTAATACCGGTGAAGGTCTATTAGTACCACGAACGTTAGCGATGTTTCGTTACTTGCTCTCTTACCGATTAGTGATTCCAGCTCGTCGATCACTGAATATGTTTCAGTAGAAACCCGAAACACGACGAAGCAATATTCAAGGGAAAAATCTCCTTCGCGCTGGAGGCTACTGCGATTCAATCGGTGATCTTGCACTCAATCTTCTCGCTGAACTGCTCAGTGCTATCTGCGATTGGAGCAATAGGAACGAATATAGGCCGGGGTCTGCTCCAGCTAACTCTATTATATGTGTCATGCTCAATGTCATGAACAACGTTTCTAGTGCATCTTGAAATCGATCTACTCAGTCTCGGGGACTACGAAGATAGCATTATAAGAGTTCCATATACGGTTGCAGGTTCTGCATGTGGCGTTCCCATTTCCCATTATTTCGTCCCTTGATTCTGTCCCATGCTCCTTCGGGCCCTGCAATTTTGAACCAGTTTAAGATTGCACCTAGTACAAAGTCCGCGTAACTTGGTCCTTCGACTGGGCTGAATAACCACTGCTCCCCGTGTTCGATTCGATCGGTAAATCCAGAGAGGTTGTCCAGGCCTCTATATACTCTTGCCCACATTGCGTCGTGCACTTCTGGTCGGAAAATCTCGTCCAGTCCGACCCCTGCCAGCAGTGAAACAATGATGGTTGCCATTCATCTCCAGCTCTATGACTATCAACGTACGTGCCACTCACCGAAAATCTCCTTCCTACTCGAGACGTAAAATTCCCTTTCACGACCCTCAGGCAAAATTTTCGTCAGGTTAGGCGCAACCATGACGAACATATTCGAGCTCGTGTTCTGCGAGATCGTCATGTGGTAAATCATCTGCCTATCGCGGCCTCCTGGGTAGATGGGGGGCTCTGGGTACTTGTGCTCTAGGTAATCGGCGATGTCGAGGGAGTCGGACACAACTACGGCTGGTTTGCCTTCGACCTGATCCACGATTACGGGAACAGTGTAGTATGGTTTCTCCATCCTGGTAGGAGCAGCCCCGATGGAGGACAGAACGTCTGTGACATCGGGCCAAGCGAGCCACTGAGTGATGTAGGGAAGTTTCTTGTAGTTCAAGACAAACCTGTCGTCAAATCCCATCGTGAATGATCCCGTTCAAGTTCATACGTGTTCTGACCAACCGAGCTTTCCAGACATTTGGAGACCAGGCCGGCGGGTCTAGCTTCGACCGGATGTCATACAGCGTGATGAGATGTTTCGCAGGCATCGTGGACATGTGGGTCTGCGACAGCACGAACTGTCATCAAGTTGTGCTCCATATATATGTCAGTTGACAAATGCATCAGACGCTTCTCTCCGAATCGCCCGCGCATGATGTCGCATAGCATCAACAACGTGTGATACTTCGATTTCAAAGCATGAGGTATCCCTGCCAGAGTGCATTCTGTCGCGCCTCATACATAAGATAGAGTCGAAATCCTGTCGTCCATTCTTCAATGCCATCGTGCTCGTATGCTTCAACGCTAGCGCTGTAACCGCTGATGGATGTCTCCGATGAATGTATGACAGTGCGGGCCCGGTGTTATGTGAACATAAGCTGTATAACGCGCTACATTTGAACTTCTAACAGATGGCTCCAAAGAGGATAAGTTAGCTATACAATACAATACATCAGCAGTGGGGCATCCAACATGATGCAGTCTGTACTAGATCTCGGTGGACGTAAGCTTGCAGGGTATATGACAGATTGACAGCAATAAAAGATGTCCAGAAAGCACCCTCATATCCGCTCGTACATGCAAATGTATGCCTTCGCTTTGAGCACTTCCTCGATCGTGGTGAGCCGCACGATCGTGTCGCTGATATAGGCCCACTGTCTCGGTGGAGACTTATGAGACTTTGTTCCGTGCTCTATCGTGTGTGCATGCGGTGCCTCTTGGGTTGTGGAGGCGGAAGTGAAGGACTCGGATGTGAAAGATTGGTCCGAAGCAGCGATAGAAGTAGGTGTAGGGGGGAGCGCTGTATAGGCAACGTAATGGCCGCCCAGCTGAGAAGGAAAAAAAGAAAGTGAGCTTGAGAATGGCTCCAAATGGTACTGTCCGTACCATATTGCCAATGTGCACGACGACCGCATACAAGCGGTACATGCAGGTATGGCTTTCCTTGTTCGACTCTTTCGCGTGCGCCTTGCCAGAGCTGTCCTTTGTAAAATCCTCTCTCCTCGGTGCGAGGAAGGGAATCAAGTCGAGATACTCTGGAAATGCGACGAACTCGTCAAGTTTCTTCACCCCGCCCGTGAACGACACAGCATATGTCTTGGATGTTTGCTGGAACCGCTTTAAGTGAACGACCAGGATCGGCGGTGGCACAGCGATCAAGTAGCGCTTGTACATCCGGCGCATTACGACCTGTTTTGAACGTGCGACCTTAGTAACCGGGGAAGCAATCGGTCCCTCCGCAGGCCGAACTACAGGCTTCCGCAGATCCTCCAAGGATGCCCTGCGGGATGAGGATGGAGAAGCCATCGGAGATGCGATCGATGAGGCGTCAGAGTACACGGACGTGTTGACCGAGATGTCACTGTCCGACTCGTAGCTGTCGTCCGAGGCTTCACCGTTAGCATCATACTCCACCTCCGGCCCCTTCGTCTTTCGTCCGCGTTGTGGAGCCAACAGCGAGTCACCCGAGAGAGAGGCGCCCGCCGTCTTGTTGAATGGATCCACCAAGGTACTGCTCTCCGCTGTCTGCACGGGGGACTCTGGTTCGGTGGTGGATATTGACGGGATGGGAAAGCCATCATAAGTCTTGGGAAGTGTTGCGGATACCAATTTGACCATGCCATTTCCTCTGTCGGATCCTAGTGCACCGAGGGCCGGGTCGCTGGCCATGGGCGACCCCACAGTCGATGGTGCAGAGAAGACCGAATTCGCGTCTGATTGCTGCTCAGATAGGGAGGCCGTACTCTGAGGGACTGAGGCCGACATAGGCGTGATGTGAGCTGTTATGTACCGCCCGTCCGAGGAAGAGAGCGTCTCCGTGGAGCCACTCAGCGGCGGGCTTCCGGTGTCGGCGGTGACTTGGTTATCCTCAAGCTTCTCGTCGCTTTCCTCCTCCTCCTCGTCCTCGTCGTTCACAGCATTGTCCTCTCCCTGCTCATCGGCGACATGGGATCGTGGTGGCTGATACAGCCCATTCGCGATCTTCCAGCACCTATGACATCCAACCATGTTCTCTCCATCCAGGATTTCGACGGCAGTGAACATTCGGAGGCACTCCTCGATGCCCGGGAGATGGCCCATCTTCGTCCACGCAGCCTGCATGGCCGCCGGTATGGACGGGCTCACGTGCACGCCATGATGAGTACTCCCCGCAATTGCATGCTGCAGCACTGCAAGCGGGTTGCCATTAGGTGCGTGGACGTCAGCGAGCAGACGGCGAAGATAGGCTGCCTGCTCCGCAGAGGGTTTCGGCGCGGGAATGGACTTCTTCCGCTTGCCCACGATAGTTGGCCGTGGCTTGTGGTGTGCACGGGGCGGGCGGATCGTGTCGGCTGTCACAGGAGTTTGGCCTAATGGAGAGGGCACGGGAGATGACGATTGCAGTCGTGGTTTAGCAGCGTCCGTGACGTCGCTGAGGTCCGAGGAGCTGTCGTTCCGCACGGGTACGGGCGAGGATATACGCCTCTGCACCGGCTCCTCCCGCTTCGAATGGCGCGCCGCCTTCTTGTCTTTGGCCTGCACCTTCCTGCCGCGCTCGACCGACCTGCTGGAGTTGTTAGGATCCAGCGCCTTCATGCTTTTCTTCACCGACACACTCAGACGTCGTCCAAACTCGCCCCACGGGTCCTTGTCCTTTTTCTCCTTCATGGGCTCTGCTTCTGGTCGCTCTTTCGCCCCCGCCTTTAGCTCCGCATTCTGCTCGTTCCGATCATCAGAGTTGGCTGGAATCGCGTCGCGTTCTTCGGCGACCGGAGATTGCTGTCCGACGGCATCAGTCGCCTCGCCTTCCTCGTCTTCCTCGCCCATGTGGTCAATGCTCCGTCTTCGTGGACCTTCATTTGTTGGCGGCTCGTCCTCCTGTGCACCTCTGTCCAGGCTGCGGCGGAGCGGGTCCGCCGGCACAGACGACGACCGTTGTCCAGGGCGCTCGTCCGTTTGCCTGAAAGGCGTGCGGAATTTGCGCGCAAACTGCCTGAAGCGATATCGCTTGCGGTCCTTCACGTAGTCCTCCGGCTTGATGCTCAGACTGAGATCGTTGAAGTCCTCGTACGTGAGCGAGACCTTCTTGCACTTCTCACACACGAGGATGCTGGCGAGCTGGCCGCCAAAGAGCATGTCCACGAACGATCTGAGCTGCTCGCTCTCCGGCAGTGTCGAAGTTGAGGACCTTCCCGCAGTCGATGAGTTGGAGGTAGACGGCGCGGGCGTGCGTTTCTTTCCAGAACGCTTGCGAGGTTCCTTCGGCGGTGGAGGCTGTCTCTTTTTGATAATCTGGACTCGTATAAGCTAGCGTCGCACGGTATCAGATAGTTACATACATCCAGTTCTTCCATTCGCATCGCATCCAGTATGTGCCGCAAGAACTCGTGCGCGTCCTGCTGTTGATAACCCGTGTACTGGTCATACTTGTGCCCAATAGCGAATAGCAGCTCTCTGCATCGACCGTTAGTTTCAGCTGGAGATGCAACTAACACACTCACTTCGGACTCATGCTCTCGCGCTTTCTGCTCTCCTGCATAATCCAGGCCCTCCTCATCACATCAATGAAAACATCCCCTAGAGGCATGCCTTCGACCCACGGATGCTCGTCTTTGCCACCTAGTCCGTGTCCGTTCGTGAGCTGCGGCGATCGCCTTGCCAGGATGGACGTCCCGAGTGTGTGCTGGAGAGACTCCGGTATTGGCTCGAAGTTGACTAGGTTATGAAGCAATTGAGTGGCCATTAGCTAGTATTACTTTGTCAACGCAATATAGTCGGTCCGAACAGACGTTGTACGCACACCCTGTAAAGTAGAGTTCATGAAGCACGTATTTCCGTGATTGATGAGCCCCGGAGGAAGACTGGCATCCTTCTCTTCCTCCTCCCGCTGCTTCCGCGCTCTGTATAGCTCTTGCGCTGTAAGCTGGTGCTTCTTGTGCTTCATCATGATCGGCCGGTGAGAATGAGATGGATATAAAGCAGATACAAGCACCCTAGCAGCCCGAGGGTTTCCCGAAATGTCCACCAGTGGCTCCCGGCGAGAGAGCGGTTTCGCACAGAGCACACCGAAAGCCCGAGGATGTCAAGAAAAGGTCCCGGATGAGTTCCTCGGCTCAGTGGCGGTAGTTCCTCGAGCAACGGAGGCCGACTGACGCTAATGACCGACTGGTTTAGCGAGCCTCACGTACCCTGGCGATGGAAGGTACGTGTCTAATGTGCTGACAAGATCAAGGCATGCGGTCAACTTTATCTGCGGAGGCTGCGCTGTGCTATAGCGAGAATGGAGGAGAATTACATATGAGATGTGAGCAGCAAGCGCTCTCACGGATCTGTCGCAGCAGATATGTCGGCGGTGCACAGGCACAATTCAACGGGACAAGTGTTGAATCAAGTCTACACAAGTTCTGTTCTACATAGCAATACCTGTGACCAGAATGTGCCTTATAGCTCCTTCAGCAACTGCTCCAGCTTGCGCAGCGCGACAACATTCTCTTCTGCACTGCCCACTGTGATCCGCAAGCAGCCCTCACATCTCAACGCCCTCTTCCTCCGACGCAGTCTTGTATATCCCTTCGGCGCGCGCATTATCTCTGACACCGGCACCATCACAAAATTCGCGTCGTTCCCACCGATCGCATCACCGAGCCCGAGCGGCCGAAGTTTCTCCAGCTCATGCAATAGCACCGCACACTGCTCGACGAGCGCGACCACCTTCGCGTTCATGGCCGCGACAACGGATCGCGAAAGCGCCGAGAGCGCGAGCGACGCCGTCGGGACCGATAATGTTGTGTATTCATAAGAATCCGTACGAGTGCCCGATGCGCGAGGGCCATGCCCAGGCTGACAGTCGTCATGAGTAATTTTGCAGCTGTGAGGGCGCTCGAGACTCTCACGGATTGCTGCGAGCCCGAAGCTCTTGCTAAGCGTCTGCATTACACAGGTTGGCGTACTGCTTGATGAGCGGCACCGCTCCCTGACCCGCCCCGCAAAGTCGATGTTGCCTCATTGACGATGACGATACCCTTGAACGGCTTACATTTCAGCAATGAGCTTGATCGACGGGTCCATCTAGTACAGCCCTCTTGATCTGCAGGGTCAGTTTGTTAGTCAATAATGCACAGATCTGGCATCAGAGCATGCCTCACACCTCTTCGACCCTAAGTGAGAATCATCTGCGCTCACCGCGCTCTCCATTCTCCCCGCTGAGTTCCGGAGGCTCCTTGATTACGCCAACACCGTGCGCACACGTTATGCATCCCGGCTAAGAGCCTTCGACATCTGAAGTGACCGAGAAATATAGCTTCACGCAAGTGAAGAACCACACGTTTGCTGCGTGAAGCGGTCGGACATGATGAATGGTCCCAGCCTTCCTCGAGGTTTGTTGCGGTGAGGCGATTGAGATTGTCGAACTCGCGATCGGTTGTGAATAATTCCGTAAGTGGTTTTATGCACGTAGGTAATTATAACCGATAACGTTGCGTTATTTAAGATTTGATTGGAGACTAAAACGTATGGAACTTGTACGGAACCGAAGCTGTGGCTTAGACCGTTGGTCGTGCTCCTAATGATTCCTGTAACCTCCCCTGGGCCCCTTCCTGCCGAAGCGTTAGCACTGCCATTTATGTCTGATCAGCTTGAGAAGATAGAAAAATCCTCTGCTTCGACAAACCACAAGAATCTACTCAAGGCTGCCATCGTAGATGCACCATCCCTGCACGGCAGGCAGAATAATGCATGGGCAGTAAACGACGCTAAACCAGAACACCTGGATGACCTTGCAGAGTACTATTACACCAGCATACTTGTTCCTGGTACGTTGGTTCTACTTTCCATTCAGTAAGGGTACGGCTCTGAGTGCGACGTGCGGTAGTTCGGGCCGCCGGAGGGAAAACACCAGCTCCCAGAAGTCATCCCTTTCGCAACGAATTTGATTCGACTGTGACAGCTGAGCCTGAGAAGTGTCTCAGTACCCTGAAGGCGAGGTGCGTTTGCTTATATCCGTACGCGGGCTGTGGTTTGACCTAGCTCATGCAGGCTTTGGTGCGCGATGGGTCCAAATGCGTCATAACCGGGAAAGTGGATGGGAAACATGCGCCTGGAGACACAACCTGGATGGACTTCGCAAGAACGGAAGCAGCGCATATCATGCCCTTCAGTCTGAACGACTTCGAGGAGACCGACGTTCCCATGGTGCGCTACAATGGCTTCATATGCGTTCCTTGAGACTCTGATGCTCAGTCAATGTGATAGATGGCCAAGAAGACTGCAGTATGGGCAGCCTTACAAACATTTTCTGGTTGCCCGCTGGACGGTCTCAGGGGCGATGGCATCAACTCTATGGAGAACGTGCTCACCCTTGAGGCCTACATGCATCAGATGTTTGGCGAGCTTATACTGGCCCTCGAACCCATAGAGGTGAGTCTTCCTCTCATCGCTCACCGAGTATATTATGACCGGGTGGCCACAAATAAGGCACAACCCAACGTGTACCGCATTCTCACTTCTGGTTATGCGAAGAAATCTCGTGGTCTACCCGACTTCGTCACTTTAAGTGATCATTCCAATTCTGGGAAGGCGTTGGTAAGTGTTTCTATTCGAGACTTGCATTCTCATGCCTGACACCCATGGTCTTGTTTCGTTCAGCCCAATCCGGCCTACTTGTCACTTCATGCTGCAATATGTAAGGTTCTTCACGCATCTGGCCGCGCAGAGGAGTTGGACAGGATCTTTGAGGATCTGAACGAGGGTGAGACGTTTGCACTCTCGCATGATGGTAGCATGGCAAATTTACTCGAGATAGCTCTGCTGAGGGCCGTTGCGGTACATTGAATCATTCTTGCCCGAGTAGAAATACAATCTTGTCTCGTCGTGCCGTGTGAGCATACACTGTAGCCAAAAACTATCGCCCGTTGAGCTCAGAGAAATATGATTGCCCACTTTGATTCAGCCATCGAGCTCACCGGATTTGACGAAAAGCACCCAAATCTCAAAGAGTTGCAACCTGAGAGAGCTGCGGCTCAAGCGGGGCAAAAAGGACGATTATAACATGTTGAGCACGTACGCAATGATGCTCTGCTGCCATTCTGCCCTCCGTGTAGAGAGAAATGAATGAGAGATCAATTCGGTGTAAGAGTCCTAAACATCATCTAGACCGTAAGGTAAAAGCAGCCGCCCTGTGTGCAGTGTTCGCAGACTGCTCACTACTCCTTCCACGAACACGGTAATAAATAGAAGTTCAAGCTGACTGTTGAGGCACATCCTCCAACATCGACGGAATTGGCGACGGCGAAGACGCGACGCATCGATAGGGTATGTTGATTCGAGTTCTATATTGCTGTGCGGACTGACGGTGCCCATACAGGCTCGATGACAAGCTGTTCAGCTTTTGGCTTCTGCAAAGCGACAATTATCCGTTCTCGCATATCGAAGGCATCTTCCAAATCGAGACAGGCATCAAGGTCAACGAGTTCCGTGGCCTGCGGGCAAACCCACGATGTCTGCTAGAGAGCCAGATCTTGTCTTTTCGTGTGCGTCTGTCACGCATGCTTGCGACAGATAGTCCCCCATGGGCAGACGAGACAATTCCATCAACCTCCGCGGGCTCCAGATATCCTTGTCTGATGTTGTCATGGGCCCGAACGCCGGTCGCGGTCGCGGGACATCCCCTTCTCCGAGTCCGATCTCTAGACAACCCAAGTGTTCAACAAGTAATCATGGTACCACCGTGGGCCTGCCGTTCGACTCGTACGACTATTCTTCCCTCTTGTCGCTTATCATCTCCACCGTTGCCACTGCAATCTTCCCGTCTATCGCAAACCTTGTTGGGAATGTGTTCAACGCACCCGTTTTATTGCCGACTACTCAAATTGATGGTGCGCAGATCATGCTCCAACGGAATGCACCCCTTCAAGCTTCCCTGCGCGTGCGTCGCTCGAAGGTGCATATGTCGCACGATGCGTTTGGGGAAACGAGAAGAGCACACTGCACACCTGCAGAAACAGGACGTGGCGAGTTTGAGGAGGGAGCGCGAAGGCTACTTGCGAAGCGCTGGGCTGCTACCGGTGGGGCTCCCCTAAGGACCAACATCAATGGCCCGAGCAGTGAAAGCAAATCAACGAGTACGTCGGGAAGTGGGACAAGTATGCCCTATGGTAACGGTGCCCGATTTGCTCTTGACCCCATCATTCTCGTCGAGGAGGAGGAAGAGGAGATCGAGGAGATGGAAAAGACGGGAGAAAACGGAATGCGGAACTCTCTAGGGACAGGTTCCGGATACGGCGAGAGCGACGCAGGAAGGATGAGGGCCTTGACGAGCTCCACAGTAGGTAACGCTATGACTGGCAGCATGCCGGATGGCCTTTCCACCGCAATTACTACATCGGACCTGAGTGGCATCAATAACCCCAATTCGGAGACCGCCTGACTGACACTACCGTACAGGATGTCTGCTCCAGTCTTACTCACTCCCGTCGCCGCCATGCCGACATCCGACACCGAAATATAGCTCGGTCTGGCGAAAGGTTGCAGGGCCAGACGTTGTCACATATCGACAGCAAGTATCGGCATTATATATACCCCCTAGCGAGGGACAATGTCGCATGTGGTAAAATAATAGTCGTTCTACCTCGGAATTAGCTTTGAATGTATGTCTAATATAACACGAACCTCGACGTATTGCGACCCGCGGGGGCTTAGAAACACTCCCGAGGTGAAGAATGCGCTTTTCAGCGCTGCTTGTCAAGGACTCGCGTTCCTCCGGTCGACCGACAGTCTTGTCTCCGGAAACGGATCCGATGCGTGGAACACTGCAAACCGAACCTGAGCGAAGACTTAGAAGACGAAGGCAGCGAAGTGAGGAGTTATCAATGGACGCGCGTTGCAATGGACGTGCACTGCAGGTCTGCATTTTGCACGATGAGCGGCATAGCTTTGTGTAAAGGGCATTGAAGCCGGTTTATGATAGAACACCTCAACGTGCCGCAACAGCCCTTAGCAGAGCCATCTCAAGCGAATCCGCCATGCTACCGTCATGTGAGAGGACCGATATTCCACCGTCGTCTAGGTCCTCGAGGATTCTGTCCAACTCCTCTGCGCGGCCGCACACGTGAAGAACCTTACATATCGAGGCACGAAGTGACAAATAGGCCGGGTTGGGCTGAATGAAACAAGACCATGGGTATGAGGAGTCTGCAATTTGTGAAATAGAAAGGCTTACCAACGCCTTCCCAGAATTGGAATGATCACTTAAAGTGACAAAATCGGGCAGATCGTAAGAATCCTCCGCGTAACCCCAAGTGAGAATGCGGCTAACGTTAGATTTTGCCTTATTTGTGGCCGCCCAGTCATAATATACTCGGTAAGCAATGAGAGGGAGACTCACCTCTATGGGTTCGAGGGCCAGTACAAGTTCGCCAAACATCTGATGCATGGAGGCCTCAAGGGTAAGCACGTTCTCCAGAGAGTTGATGCCATCGCCCTTGAGACTGTCCAGTGAACGACCAGAAAATGCTTGTAATGCTGTCGATATTGCAGTCTCGTCGGCCATCTATCACATTGACTGGGCATTAGAGTCCCTCGGAACGCATATGAAGTCATTGTAGCGCACCGCGGGAACATCCGTCTCCTCGAAGTCGTTCAGACTGAAGGGAATGATATGCGCTGGCGCTGCTTCCGTTTTTCCTAAGCCCGTCCTGGTCTTCACTTTAGCTACATGCTTCCGGTCCACTTCCCCGGTTATGACGCATTTGTACCCATCGCGCATTAGAGCCTGTATGAGCTAGGTCAAACCACACCCTGCGTACAGATATAAGCAAATGCACCTCGGCCTTCAGGGCACTGAGACGCTTCTCAAGCTCAGCTGTCACAGTCGAATCAAATTCGTTGCGAAAGGGATGACTTCTGGGAGCTGGTGTTTTCCCTCCGGCGGCCCGAACTACCGCACGTCGCACTCAGAGCCATACCCTTGCTGCATGGAAAGTAGACGTACCAGGCACAAGTATATTAATGTAATAGTAGTTCGCAAGGTCATCCAGTTGTTTTGGCTCAGCGCCTTTTACTGCCGATGCAATATTGAGCTTGCCGCGTAGGGATGGTGCATATAAGATGGCGGCTTTGAGCAGATTCTTGCTGTTTGTCGAAGCAGGGGATTTTTCTATCTTCTCAATCTGATCAGAGATAAATGGCAGCGCTAACGCTTCGGCACGAAGAGCCCCAGGATAGTTTGCAGGAATCATTAGAAAAATGAGCATCACCGGTCTAAGTGACGTTAAGCATTTCAGTCTCCGACCGTATCGTAACGTTTTCAGTAAAGAGGTTAGTTACCTCCGTGCATAAACCCACTTACCGGAACTATCCACAACCGAGTTCGACTCGTACGATCTCAATCGTCCTCGAGGAAGGCTGAGCGAGAATGGAGGGAAATTACAGATGTGTAAGCAGCAAGCGCCCTGACGGATCTGTTGCGGCAGAAGGTCCAAGGTCGGCCGTCCACAGGCACAGTAACAAGTGTTAAATCAAAGTCTACACAAGTTCCGTTCTATGCGGCAGCACCTGCGAACCAGAACGCGCCTTATAGCTTCCTCAGCAACTCCTCCAGCTTCCGCAGCGCGACAACATTCTCTTCTGCACTGCCCACTGTGATCCGCAAGCAGCTCTCGCATCCCAGCTCACCCCCACGGTACCGCACGACAACGCCCTCTTCCTCCGCCGCAGTCTTGTATATCCTCTGTGCGCGCGCATTGTCCGGCAGCCCGCTCCCGCTCTCGCTCTTCTCTAACACCGGCACCATCACAAAGTCCGCGTCGTTCCCACCGATCGCATCACCGAGCCCGAGCGGCCGAAGTTTCTCCAGCTCATGCAATAGCACCGCACACTGCTCGACGAGCGCGACCA